TTTGTGCCTTTTGAAATTTAACCGTAGAGACGTCCAATTATAGATGAGAACACATTGCTGATGCTTTATTTCACGTAATAGCAGATTCTGTATCTTGTCCAATCTCAAAACCCAGAGCGCAGCAGGGCTGCAGTGTGGTTCAACTGTTTTCTGAAGTTCTGTGCTTGCACCCCTGCAGTTAGACACCCACTCATGCATCTGCGCGCCTGTTTGGGGAGCAGTGGTGGTCCAGTTGTGGAGAGGGCCCTGTAGGCGTCTACAGGGTGGGGCCAGGCGGGGCAGGGGGCACTCCCGGGCAGCTGTGGTCCCCCTCATGCCCCACCCCCTTTTCTTAAGGCCCTGTCTTCCCCTGAGTTTGTCCCCAGAAGGGGCCCCAACCAGCTGCTGTTACTGGGCTCCTGTGTTCCTTTTAAGATTTTTCGTTGTTTCCATAGTTTGTCCACTAGCCCTTGGGCATCTCTGGGAGGTGTGTGCAGTAGTGCTGAGTAGGTCAACACTGTTATTTGCTAATTAAAACCTCATTCTTCGGAGAGTTATCAGATCAGCGGCGACCAAAGAAAGCTCGTTCTCAATCAGAAGGAAAATTGTATTAAACCCTGTTCCACTAGGATCAGCGGCTGTATGAAAGCTGGCGGACAGCCCCTGGCAAACACGTTGACGTGTTTTTGCCCCCCTCCTTACCCTGCTCCCACTGGTCTCCAGCTGTGGTCCCAGAACCAGCTGGTCTCTGCCCTGGGGCCTTCGACCCCTCCACCTTCCCCTGGGTCCCATTCTGCCTCCACCAATTTACACATTTCCCAGCCTGCAATTCTCCTAGGGTATCACCCCAAAACAGCTGTGGTCGCTCACGTCATGCTGGCAGCAATGGGAAACCCACCTGGCTGGGGCCAGAAATGCTGAGACTCCCACAGAAACTGAGTGAGGCCAATGGTGAGCAGCTGCCCCGGCCCTGGCCAGATCCCTTCTTGGCACAGCCCTCCCCCGCTGCCACCTTCCTCTTTTCCTTCCAGCAATGGAGGAACAGGAGGCACAGATTCTATACTGTCACTGAAACCATTGCTTGGGTTCGTAGGGCACTGGCTCAGGAAAAATTAAAGACAGTCTTTGACCAAAGTCAAGTCCACCCCAAGGGCAGCTGGGCACTCCTGAAAGGCTGGGAGGTGGTCAAGCAGAGAAGCAACAGCGGTACCCCACACCTGCCCTGGGCAGCCCGCAGACAGGCATCTCAGAGTCCCCACTGCCCCCGATTTCCAGGTCAGGGCAGCCGCAGGGCCGCTGCTCTCGCCCTAGTATCCAGGGTGGGCAGCTTGGCCCCTCTGCAGCCTTGCAGCCCTGTGGCAGTTAGAGCACCACTCGGCCTTGGGCATAATCAGGGGCCATTGTGTTCGGGGCTGCAGAATGAGGCAGTGTCCCTTGTGGGCCCCCCAGCACTGCCTGACCCCTCTGACAAACTCTGAGCCACTCTGGGGCTCAGCACCACAGAGTCAGGTGTTGCCCCAGAGGCACCCTGAAGGGGAGGGTGAGGCTGCACCTTGCAGGGAGATGCGTTTCCCTTACTGGGGTAAACACAGTGAAATGCACAAATCCTAGACTACATCTGGTGTGGATTTGGTGTGTTTGCACTCATGTAACCACCTTGAGCAAGATGTCAGACGTCCCCACTACTTTTCCCTCTTCACTTCAGTTCATCCCAGTGCCCCATGGCTGCTACCAGTCTTTTCTCTGTATTTATGAATCTGTTTTGTTTGTTCGTTTGTTTTGCTTTTTAGATTCCACGTGTGAGAGAAATCAGCTGGTGTTTGTCTCTCTCTGACTTATTTCATTCAGCATAATATCCTCTAGGTCCATCCATGTCGTCACAAATGGCAGGATTTCCTTCTGACGGCTGAGTAATGTTCCATCATGCGTATGTACCACGTCTCCATCCATTTATCTGTCAATGGGCACTGGGGTTGCTTCCGTATGTTGGCTGTTGTAAATAGTGCTACAGTGAACATAGGTTCTCCTGTGGGTAGATTTCCAGAGGTGAAGTTGGTGGTTTGCATGGTATTTCAGTGTTAGTTTTTGAGGTGCCCCCACACTGTTCCCCATGACAGCCATACGCCCAGGGTCCCTTTTCCCACATCCTCACCAACACTGGCCATTTGTCTTGTTGACAGCTGCGCCCTGGCTGGTGTGAGGTGACCTCACTGTGGCTCTGATCTGCATCCCCCTGACATCACGATGTCGGGTATACTTTGCTGTGTCTGTATGTCTCCTTTCCTCCTTCCTTGGGGAGCCCCTGTCCTCACCTCCAGGCCAGGCTGGCTGTTCACAGAAGGGATGCCCATGTGCCTTCTTCCAGGGCTCCTCGTGGGTGCTGGGGGACTGCGGGCTGGAGAGGGGCCGTCACATGCTCCCACCCAGTACTGTTGGCAGGAGAGGGGCCCTGGTGGTTTTCCTTGGCAGGAGCCCGAGGGAGGCAGCAGGATGAATGCCCACAGGCCTGTTGGGGTTCAGAAAGGATGCCTGGCCCAGTGGGAGGGCCATCCCTGCAAGCTGACTGCCTGGGGCCTGGGTCCCCTCCTCCTTGGTCTCGGGTCAGAAGTTCCTCACTCGATTCACATACGGTGGTTGGTCTGGCCCATCTAACATTCGATGTCTAGTTAGAACCAGCCTTAAAACAGATTTCACCTATAAATCTGTTTCCAGTTCTCTTGAGAGGCCTGTTGGCCTGGGCCATGCCAGGGTGAGGGCCCCTACTTTGACCCGGCCCCTGCCTGGCACACTCCCATGACCTGCCTGGCCCCTGGCACTGCCAAGGGTTGGCCTTGCACCTCTCTGAGCAGCTCCTCTGAGAAATACTTAGTTCCCTGGGGACACGGAGTGTGGGCCCCAGCCACTGCCATGGTGGGGGCACTATTGGCTAAGGCAGGAGTGATTTAAAGAAGCTATTTCTGCAGTTTCCAGGTTTGTGTAGACAGAGACCCTTAATGCTGGGTGTCATAGAAACCCTAGGAGAAATGGCTGGACTCTTCAGTGGCGCCTCCTCATGTGGGGCTGCACCCACACCTGTGCTGGGAAACATCAGGCTCAGGTGCCTGCTGCCAGCCCACGGCCCTGGCTGCCCTGTACTGCCTCCTTCCTGTGCCCTTCTGCAGAGACCACGCCCCGCTCAGAGCACCCCAGCAGTCCTTGGAGGGGTCAGGGCCCCCCTCATATGACCAGGCCCTCGGCCTCGGGGACAGAGGGTGCTGCCGGGGCTGGTGGCCTATGGAAGGGTCCTGGCAGGTGCCCTAGGCCCCCCACTACCATGGTCCTTACCTTTCAGGGACTTAGGCCTGGGTGGCTGGCTCCTTGCCACCTGCATGGCTGCAGAGGGGCAGGGACTGGCCTGTGGGTGGAAGGTTGTCTGTCTCCTCTCAGTGCCAGCTTGTCTGTGGTGCCCCCCAGCCTGTTGGCATGGGCACAGGAAGTAGGCCCTGGAGGGCCTGAGCAGGTAGATGGGGAGAAACAGGCCTTTAGCGAGGTCCACAACTCATCATCAAACCCCTGTCTCCCAGGCTTCAGTGAACCCCACTCAAAACCAAGTGCCCCTCTGGCAGCTGCTTGGGCTTGGAGCCCCTGCTGGCTCCTCTGGGGGCTCGGGCATTCCTGGCCCTGGAAGCTGGTGTGGTAGTGGGCACCCATCTTTGGACCCTTGTTTGATTGGTGGGAGGTGGCAGTAGGGGAAGGATGGCTCCAGGAGGCTACCACCCCCTGGGGGACAGAAGCCAGTCCTTCACTGTGCCCACCTGCCCTCAGGGAAGGTGTGCAGCACCCAGGCCCCTCCTGTTCTCAGGGCGGGGGGCTGCTCCCCTGCTCTGTCTGTAGGCAGGGTGCACACAGCTGCCATTTCTCCCTGTTTGTACAGTAAGAGCCAGGAGGTCCATGAGTGTGTGTGTGTCACAAGTGTGTGAGTGTGAGCACATGTGTCAGGAGGGTGTGAGTATATGTGTCAGGTGTGTGTGAGAGAGTATGTGTGTCAGGAGTGTGCATGTAAGTGTGCGGCTGCCAAGGCCCTCCCAATGCAGCCCTGAAGCCACTGCAGGCTGGTGAGTTCCAGCTGGTTTTATAGGAGGCAGAGAGGGGAGCCGAGAGAGCTGCGCCATGGTTGTAGAAAGCTCCGGAAGGAAGGAGCGGGTGTGGAGTGGGAACACAAAGGTTGTCACGGGACAAAGTTGTGTGAGGGGATCTGCTGGTGATGGGGAGGGGAGGGAGAAGGAGGGGAGGGGGCAGGAAGGGAGGCTGCCCGTGAGCAGGGCGCTCGCCCCTTCCTGGAAGTTTGGGGGCAGCAGCCCAGCCCCTGGTGCATCCGCCTGGATCAGCAAACACGGGTGTTCTGGGTTTTCTAGGAGGAAGGGTGGACCGTGACTGCCGTCCCCGCAGCCCCGCACCCATCTTTGGACACTTGTTTGATTGGTGGGAGGTGGCAGTAGGGGAAGGATGGCTCCAGGAGGCTACCACCCCCTGGGGGACAGAAGCCAGTCCTTCACTGTGCCCACCTGCCCTCAGGGAAGGTGTGCAGCACCCGGGCCCCTCCTGTTCTCAGGAGTGTGGGGGGCTTGCACACTAGAAGGGGTCAGTGCATGCTGTTTGTTGAAGGAAGCCTGAGTCCCCCTTGAGCCAGGCCCCCACCCATGAGGATCACAGGAGGGTGCGGCTTTCCACAGGCCCAGAGCTCCGTCTGCAGGTGCACGGGAGGAACATCCACCACAGGCAGCTGTGACTCCGGGGTGCTGGGGGCAGCAGCTATACCTGGTCTTCCCCACAGGGCCTCTGAGTAGGTGCTGGTCCCCAGAGTACAGGACTCTGTGTACCCCCTCCTCAGTTACAGGGCAGGGAGGGGTTTGCGGAGCCTCATGCATGGCTGGGAGACCGAGGGTCCCTGGCTGAAGCCCATCCACCACTGGCGGTGCCTAGATCAGTGCTCCCCTTCCCTTCCCAAAGCCCTGACAGGCTGGCAACCCCTTGCCTTTCAGGGAACAGCAGCATGTGGGGCTGCGCAGGAGACGGACCTTGCACTGTCCCCTGAGCAGAAGAGAGTCCTGGAAAGGAAGCTGAAGAAGGAGCTCAGGAAAGAGGCAAGGAAGCGGCTGCGGGAGGCAGGCGCCGCCCCCACCCCCAGGCTGCCAACCCAGCGCTCCGGGGCCCAGCTGGCCCTGGACTACCTCCATGGGTAAGTAGAGCTCCTTGCACAGCCTGGGAGGGCTTAGAGCCGAGGGCCCAGGTGGTGTGGTTCAGAGCCAGCTCCCCGGGGACCCCTGGGCCTGCGGGGGCAGAGCACCTGGGACGGTACAGCAGGAGACCTCGGAACCAACCGGTCTACTAGAAGCAGGCAGAGGCTGGCCTGCGTTGGCAGATGCATAGCAGACTACTTTGTACCAGAACGTTTAGGAGCCTCTGTGGGGGCTCAGAGTCACATATCCTGGCAGGGCCCCTGCTGGTTTTCCTCTTGCCGGGAAGCGGATTATGATGGGGTTATGCTTTCTGCAAATCGAACTCACTGTACTCACACGGCAGAGCTGGCAAGTTAAGTCTGAGAGGGTGGCCTTCCCTGCGCCTGGCCATGTGGACACGCCGGGAGGGCGGCCATCCCTGCGCCTGGCCATGTGGACATGGTGGTGCTCTTGCTGTGGGCAGTGGCTTTGAGACAGTCCCCTGTCACACAGGTCCCATTTAGCATGTGCCATTGGTGGTTCTAGCGTACGCACAATCACACAGCCAGCTGTTCTGCCTTCACCAGCCCAGGGGGTGGTAGCCGCTCACCCACTCTGTGTTTCTGTGGCCTGGGCTCCCTGGACACTCCCTTGCACGGAATCATTCAGTGCATGGCCTCCTGGGCCCAGCTTCTGTCACCAAGCACCCACCTGCGGGAGAATGCCATTCCTTCTTGGCAGAATGGTATTCCGTTGTTTGTGTCCAGACAGTCTGGTTCATCCAGTGCTAGACAGGGCATTTCCTTCTTCTAGCTGTGAACTATGCTTCAGGGCACACGTGTGTGGGTTTTGAATGGACCCATCTTCCTCTGCTGCGGGTATACATGGAGGAGTGGACCATGGGCCCCAGGGTAACAGGAGCATTCCCACTGCTGAGGATCCACTTTGGATAATCTGGGAGCCAGCTGAGCTCCACTCTGACCCCCTCCCTGGAGGGGTCACCAGGTGCGTCTGTGACAGACTCAGGGCGCTGTGCCCATAGTGAGGAAGACAGGATGCTCCCGGGATCCGCAGCTGCTCTGTGGGGACAGCTGGCCAGTGGTGGACACCCTCATGGGGTGGGGGCCTTCTCACCTCTGGCTGGAGTCCTTGCTGTCCTGGGAGTGTGGGCCATCTGGCCGTGGAGGACAGGAGAGGGACAGTGAGTTGGCCCAGGGGAGGTCAGCACAGCCCATTTGGCTAGGGGCCCTCCCCACTTTCATAGAACCCACTAGCCATGGATTTTCAGGGGGTGCTTTCCTCTGAAGAGTCATCTGGGAGATTATCCCCGTCAAGAGGTCATTGCCATCCATGTCCTATGTGGTGGTCCCAGAGATAGCAGGTGGCAGTGTGCAGGGAGCTCAAGCCAGGGCTGAGCCGACTCTCCATCCAGGGAGGTGGCCGATATCCCTGGGTGTGAAGGAGTTGGTAGGAGGATGCTTGGCAGGGCAGGAGCATTGAGTTGCAGAAGGTGTTGCAGGTCGGGAACCAGCGAGTCAAGCAAAGGGAAAGGGTACCACTCCAGGCTGGGAGGGCCTGCCTCGAGGTGGCACACTCCCAGACTAAGAGGCAAGCAAGGCCAGGAGGCCCTGGGCTGTGTTATCCTGGGGACTGTGACCTGGAGTGGGTTAGGGCCCCCATGAGCTGGTGCCCTCACCCTCAGCAGGCCATTGGGGCATTCGAGGAATAAATGGCCTGGGAGCAGGGAGCTTGGACATAGGTCAGTAAGGGGCAGGTGTGAGCCTCGTTGACCAGTGACAGGTGGAGACTCCAGGGCTGAGAGCTGTCCACGCCTGGTGCCACAGATGCAGGGGAGCCCACCCCAAGGCCAGAGTAGTCAGGGAAGGCTTCCTGGGGAGGTGCTCAGGCAGACCAGGCTGTGGGCCAGAAACCACAGTGCCAGGAGGGTTGTGCAAGCCCAGGACAGGGCGGTGACCAGGCCCAGAGTAAGGGGTCTCATACCATCTCTCCCTATAGCATAGTGAGAATCCAAAAAATAATGGCCTGGAGGTGTCTTGAAGGCCTCCTGCTACTTGAGATGACATGCCACTGGTGGTGGCATCACTGCCCTGCTGGCATTCTCCCTGCCATCACCATTGTCACGGGGCGGGGCTCAGAACCAGGAGCTGGGTTCAGGGACAGCATTGCTGGGAGGCCCTGCAGGGAATTCTGAGAAAGCTGGCAGGGCTGTGGGGCTGTGTACGTGTTGTACACGCGTATGAGCCCAGTGACAGGCTGGGAAGGGCATGGTGAAGACAGTAGGGCTGTCAGAGCCCTGTCTTCTAGGAAGAAGTTTGGAGTCACCTGGCTCTTCTGGGCTCTGTATGAAGCAGAATGTTCCTGGAACTGGGCTGAGCAGCTGGTGAGTCAGCTGCTCAGCATCCTGGGGTTCTGCCCACCTCCCTTTCCTGCCTTGGAAGCAAGGGAGGCTGTGGGCAAGCACCAGACTCCACCACATTTCTCCTCTAAGGCTGGGGATTCTTGGGGACAGCTGGGCCCAGCAGGCTTACAGCTGGTGGACACACTCGTGCCTGCCACCCCACAGCCATGGCCAGTGACTGCTCCCAACAGTGTGTGTAAAGGGCCTTGCTCCCTGGGGTCCTTGGAGCAGGGCAGGATCACTCTCCAGTGTCCACGTGGGCCAGAGGAAAGGCCACTCCATAGCCTCTTCCCTCACCCGCCTGCTCTGGCCAACCCACTGCAGCCCTGGGGTCCCGCTTGTTCCTGCTCTGCACCCCTGCACAGCCCCCAGGTTCCACCTGGGACCCTCTTGGGTGGGTTCTGACCAGCAGAGCCACATCTGGCTTGCTCTGCACCTGCCCATCTCTGCTGCCCAGCAGAAGGAATCCTCCGTCCTCTATCCTGTGCAGGGCTTTGAACCTGGGGCCCAGCCAGGCCTCATCCCTGTGGCCTGCCGTGACCTTGGCCTTCCCTAGCTCCTGGGTGCCCGTGAGCATTGGAGGCTGGGTGCCTCACCCTGGAACCCCACCCTGGCCCAGGAGCTGCAGTGTCCAGGTGACCTGCTTGTGGGTGGGCAGCTGCAGGCCCTGTGTCCGCAGCAGCCTGCAGCTTCTGGTCACCTGCTGTCCTGCCCAGTTCCTTCATCACCATAAGTAGCTCACAAAGTCACACTGCCTGCCTGACCTGGTACCTGGGAAGTTGAACTTGTCAGATTCATCAGTGGGCCCTGGCCTGCTGCACCGCTACGTCCTGACCACCACGGGCACTGGACCAGGGTTCCTGGGAGGGGCTGCTGGGAAATGCAGGGGGCCCATGAGGACCTGAGCCCAGGAGTGGGCATAATAAAGATGGGGGAGGGGGCAGGTTTGGGAGATACTTAGGAGTGAGAGCCCGCACACCCACGTTCACAGGAGCGGCGTTCACAGCCAAAGGGTGGCATCACCCCAGTGGTGAACCGATGGCAAAAGGGCGTCCCTCCCACAGTGGCACATGATCGGCCCTAAACGGGACAGAAATGCTGGCACCTGCCCCAGTGCCAAGGGACCCTGAGGACACAGCACCCATGACACAAGCCAGTCACAGGAGGACACACACCATGAGGAGGGGAGGCCCTGGGGAGTCACAGTCACAGGGACCTTGTGGGGGGACAGAGAGTCAGTGTAGGGAGACAGACAGGCCTGGAGACAACAGAGGGGCTGCTGCACAGTATGATGTGCTTAATGTCCCTCAGTTGGACTGAAGGTGGCCAAGATGGTAGGTTTTTAGCTCTGTGTTTTCCTGCCCACAGTCCACAGGCTGTGGGGTGAGGAAGAGGGTGTCAGGGAGGCCATGACTATCAGGTGACAGGCAGGTGGCAATGCCACCAACCCAGGAATAGCAGGAAGATGTGATGTTCGTGTCTCCCTGAGTGGTGAGCATTTCCCGGGCAGATGCCGAGACCTGGTGTGGGAGCTGGGAAGCCATGCCCTGCAGAGAGCCGCTTGAGATCTCAGTTCTCACCAATGTGAGAAGGTTTTCCAGTTTTGAGCACTTCCAGCTCAGGTCATGTCTCCCTGTAGTGTGACAGGAGCAGGACCTTCAGTGCATACACTGTACTCTTTAAGGTGAGAACTGAATGCCGCCGTGATTTGGTGGTCGGAGGGTCCCTGCGGCAGCACTGAGGGGTGGGGAGCTGGGGGTGGGGGCCGGCCCCAGACAGGAGCAGGAGAGATGGTGGGCCTGGGGCACAGGTGTGAGGCCCGCAGGGCTCAGTGGGCCATGCGTCGTGACTGGAAACCAGCCATGTCCACGCCACAAGGTGGGAGCTGCAGTGTCTCCTCGTGGAGCATGGCCACGGGCCTATGCTGGAGCCACTGTCACCTGCCTTCATGGGCCCTATCTAGATGTCCTCTCTGTCCTCAGCACCCTCACTGAGTCATGGGGCTGGCACAGCACCCCATGCAGCCCAGAGCACACGTCCCAGCGGCATCGCTTCCTACCCTGGTCGGCACTGCCTGGCTGCCAGTGAGGCCTTGGGTGTCCGGGCGAGCCACAAAGCTCACAGCTCAAGGCCAGGCCCTGGAATAAACCTCCCTCCTGCACACTCAGGTTTTCTGCAGTGAAGACTGCTGTACAAACAGTCATTTTTCCTGGCAGCCCCGGAGGGAGTGGGTGGGGAGTGGGTCTGCGGCCGCACCTCCAAACTCTGCCCTCCAGAGGCAACTGCAGGCAGCAGCTGTCACTCCTGTGAAGTGCTTGGGGACTCACACAGGAGGGAGCATTTGCCAGAGGCTGGGGCTTACCCAGGACAAGCACTGTGCCTGCTAGCCTCCCTACCCCGTGCGTCTTGGGTGGGCCCTGGGCCTGGCATCCGAGCAGGAGCTGTGCCATCTCACCACCATCCAGGGTGCTGAGGCACCCTCACCAGGGGTGCAGCCTGAGGTGCGGACAACTGCCTTCTCAAGGTGGCCCTCGTACTGGCCCCTGTCCCTCCCTGCCTCTCATTTCCCAGCTGGAGGAAATGTACATAGCCCTCTGTCCCCTGGTCCCACCTTTCTCGTCTGTCTGGGGCCTCCTGCCTGCCTGCCTGCCTGCCTGCCATGGGTTTCTGTGGGCCCACTCAGCCTATCTGAAGCCAGCCCAGCACACCCTGGTTTTGTGTGTGCCCTGGCACACTAAGCCACTGTGTGGACTCAGCTGACCCAGAGCCGAGGACTGGATAGGAGGCGCTAATTTAGCTCATGGTGCATCCATGTTACAATGCAGCAGTAATGCTCCCGGCAGCCGAGCCCCTGGTTCGTGGTGGTGGTCTTAACACTTCCACAACATCTCCCTCCGCCCGCTCTGAAAGTCCAGGGGGAACACCAGAGACCCTGGTGGGTGAGTTCAGATGCCATCTTGCAGGGCAGGTGCAGCTGGGGCACAGAGCCCCATAGTAACTTGAACGGGGAATTCATTATGAAGAACCATCATAGTGAGGGCGAGGATGCTGGGCTCACCAGAGCAGGCACCAGGGTGGCCAAAACCCCAGGGCTGGGATGAGCCCAGAGCAGCTGTGGCCCACAGACGGCAGGGACTTGCTGGGACTTGCTGGGTTGCAGAGCTGAGGAGGGGCCAAGGATGCTGGACCTGGGAGGAGGAGCCTTCCCCTGAGACCCTTGGACCTGGAGGCAGTCACTTGGTAACCAGCAGAGGGGTCCCCAGGGCTGTGGTGGCTTCCTGGGTACAGGGGCAGGGCCCTTGGCCCAGCTCCCTCTTTTCTTTTCTGTTTGTCTCATCCTCTGTTTACGCACTGTCCTGCTTTCTTCTGTCTTGACACTGCCTCCCCTCCTCGGGCTACACTTTTGCCTGGGCCCTGCTGAGGGCTGCACCTGCTGGTGCCAGAGACCAGGCCCGGCTCTGTTCTAGAAGCCGGACACGTTGCCCTGTGGGCCTGCTGCCTTAAGTCTGTCACCCTGGCCATGCCAATGAGTGGTGGTGCTGGGGCGTCTGCTCCCCAAGGTGGGGGGTAGTGGCCCAGTGTGTCCCAGCCCCTGTGACTGCTGCTCAAAGCACCCATCGGGGGGTGGCCTGCTGCCCCAGAACACAGTGTGGGTGTGATGCTTGCACCTGCCCCAGCAGGAGCTGCTATCCAGAGAGAATGGTTGAACTCCCCCAGCAAACATCCGGAGAGTAGCGGGCGGACTCCTGGTGCACAGCCTCCTTCCTGCAGACAGCCATCAGTGCCTGAGTGGGCGTGGGAGCCTCTCTCTACCTCTGGAGCCTCTGTCCCAGGGCTTGGCTCTCCGCCGGTGGGGCAGGAGCAGCCACCCCATCCTGACGATGCCCACGAGGGCACCTGAAGCTGCCTGCTCCTTGTACTTCAGCCCCCACGTGGCTCCGTGTGGGCGGCCAACTTTGCTGCCGTGTCCTTGGCATGTGGAGGGGCTGGCACAGCCATGTGTCTCTGTTCCCTGACTTCCGAGGAGCTGGACCGGCATGGCCCCTGGGGTTGGGGTCCCTGGCTCCACTCTCCAACCGCAGCTCTAGCGGGCAGTCTCTGCCACAGCGCAGTGAACACTTCTGGGTCAATGACTGAGCTCATGGTTCAGAATGCTCACGTTAGATTCTGAAGTCATGAAATCACATGGTTGGTAAGTGGCCTGGACCACATGTTCCTCGTATCCTGTTGCAGATATGAGGCAGGCCCAGTGGCCAAGGGCCCCCAATGGGCGTTTGGAGGTGAGGCATCCTCCCGGTGTCTGCTGCCCTCAGGCTGGGGAGGGTCTCCCGAGAACTGCTCAGACACTGGGGGCCTGGTCACATACTCCCCAGCCAGGTGGTACAGGCAGACCCTTCAGGCTCCTCTGTCCACCTAAAAGGGCATGTCCTTGCTTTCCCAGCTGGGCCCAAAAGCATGAGAGTTGGAGATTTCAGAAGACAAGGCAGACCTGGCTCCTGCTGCACATGTACGACCATGACAAGGTGTGTGCAAGGGGTGGGGTGGGGGCTCTCCCAGGGTACAAGGTGTGTGCACTGTGTGGGGGGTGGGGGGCAGGTCTCCCAGTGACTGGGAGGGGAAGGGCCCACTGGCAAGACCTGCTTGGGCCACACTGGCCTGAGGTCCCCAGGCCCTCCTCACTCGGCCTCCCCTGCAGTGGGGGCCAGGAAGGGCAGCCCCAGCAGCCAGCCCTGGCCAGGGAACTCCTCCACGAGGCCAGTTCTCACAGGGCCTATCCAGGCACTGGTAAGAAAGAGGCCTTGGCACCACTGGGGAGGCTCTGGGAGCACCCAGTCCAGCCCTTGATTTCACAGAGGTGAAGCCAGGCCCTGGAAGGCTCTGCACGGGGTTCTGGGTAAGAGCTCCTACACCTGCCGCAGGGGCCCTGACACCCCTGCCAAGGTGTGTCCAGCTGGACCTTCCCCAAGGAGGCTGCTGAAGGTCCAGGAGAGCGGCCTTCATGCCTCTCCTCCTAGTGGGGGGGGGTGAGGCTGAGGCCAGGAGGTGCCATGTCACCCCCCAGAACTGCGTGTGCATCTCCTGCAGAAAAGGACATTCTCTGTGTACCTACAACCCAGCCTCAGAACCAGCCTCAGCCCATGTGGCCGCCCTCAGCTTGGCCTGTCCTTGGTGACGGCCATGTGAGTGGGCATGCCTCTGCCTGGAACTTCTCTGGCCTCACTGACCTCGGCGTGCTTGGAGAGTCGAGTTACTCTGCGGAGCATGGCCACTTGGGTCTGTCTGTCCTGGGCAGACCCAGGTGGGACACTGCCGGTGTTGTGGGAGCCAGGTGTCTGCCTGGCCTTCCCTGGGAAGTTACCCCTTCAGCGATTGGTGTTTCTGTGGGGTCTGCTCTGGGATCAGGGACATCCATTTCTCACCAGACTCAGGTCCTTGAACCTTGGTGTCCACAGCCAGCCCCACAGGGCAGCTGTGCTGTGGCAACTGCCCAACATACTCTTCCATCTCCTGGGGCCTCACCTGCATCTGACGCTGGCGCTGTCCTTGAGGATGGGCGTTGCTGTGCCCCATCATGTTGGTGTCACACTACCAGGGTGGACTCTCGTGACTCGGCGGCTGCTGCCCATCACTGGCGAGATCCTCACCGTGTTAACAGCAGCCCCAGCGGAAGATTGAGGTTCCCCTGGAGCACGGGTGGGGTGGGGTCCTCCATAAAGGAGGCACCTGTAAGCCCACCTCTGAGATATGCCACAAGCATGAGGTGGGGAAGACTCTCAGGCAGGGGCAAAGACTGTCAGCTGTATGGCCATAGCCTCTCACCACCCCTTCCCCACAGCCCACCATCCTGCACAGCCCTGTGCTAGGTCCCCACTTGGCAGCTCAGGGCACCTGCCCCTATCCAAGTGGGGCACCAGACATTGGCTCCCAGGAGCCCAAGCCCAGGGGGCAGATAGTCCCAAGAACTCTGGAGCAGGCATGCCCCACAGGAGCCTGTGGCAAGCCATGTGCAGCACCCCACTGCCCCCACCATCTGCTGTCTCATATTCCAGGAACTGTCCCTCCCCTCCCAGGGCCCAAGGTGGCTTCTGTAATGAGTTGGGAGGTGGCGACTGGCTTACCTCCTACAAGGCCTCTTCCAACTTGCCTGGATGCTGTAAGATTTGCGCCCCCAGAGGAGGGGTCCGAGGGTGCCCTGAGCCACCGCCCCAGCCAGGTGGCCCTCTGCCTGTCATTCAGGTCCATCCCCGGAGTCCTAGTCATCCCAGGACCACAAGGTGGCCTAGAGCCAGGCTCACATTTCCACGAAGTCCAAGTATTCCATTTTTTTCTTTAGTTGATTGGTTTTGGTGTTGTGACTAAGAAAGCATTGCCTGATTCATGATGAGGAAAGCTACCCCCTAGTTTTCCTCTCAGGGTTTAGTAGTTTGGGTTCCTGTGTTTAGGCCTTGGATCCCTGTGGTGTTAATTTTGTCGGTGCCGTCAGTGAGGTTTCCTCTGTGTAGGGACATCCAGCTGTCTCACCACCTGATGGAGACGTTTCCTTGGGGCCTTGGCACCTCACTGCTTCTTAACGCCCTATAGTCACATGTTTCGTGTGCCCATGCTAGAATGTGAATCCCAGGAGGACAGGGGCTTGAGCTTTCCCAGACCCCTGGATCCTCTAGCCTGACAGGTTAGAAGGTAAGCAGAGCCTACCTCTCGAAACCTCCCATCCGTTCAGGCTGCCTGGGCTGCCCTGCAGACCGGATAGGTGTGTCTGAAAGCCCGCCTGGGGACTGGAGGTAGTCAGGGCCCAGCACAGGCCATGGTCAGTAAACACTGGGATACAGGGCGGTGCCTGGCCAAGATACCCAGATGGTGGATGGGAGAGAGAAGGCCATGCTGGCTGTTTGACAGTCTAAAGTCCTGGGAACCGAGTCCTGATAAGAGGCCCTGCCCTCCCCCAGTCAGCAGGTGGCGGTGCTGGGGACGCAACTGAGCCCCAGGCAGGAATGAGACCCTTTGCGGCTCAGGTCCCTGGACTATAGACAGGGCGCTTCTCTTTCTGCCTTGGGAGCCCAGTTAAACAGAACTGGAAGTGAGCACACTTTCCAGTCTTTTATTGTAATGGAAGCCACTGAGGCACCGCCAGCAGCCTGGTGCACTTGGCCTGCCTCTGGGTCCCACCCAGTCTGACATCTCCACCTCCAGGTAAATGAGGATTTCTGCCCTGTCTCCCCTCAGATCCAAGCCCTGGAATTGCCTCTCTACCCCGGAGGAGGCCTGCCCTCTGGGAGTTGGAGCCTTGCAGGCCTCCCTCTACACAGCTGTGCCCTGTGACCAGCAACATGTGGCTAAAGGCAGCCTGTCCCCTGGGGTCCTTTCCCAGCAGCCCCTCAGCCACCAGTGCAGCAGCAAACAGGAACCAGGACAGTAGCCCCTTGTTGCCCACCCCCCCAGGCTCTGCCCCAACCATGGGGCAGCTTATAAGACCGGCTCACAGGTGGCAGGCCTGCCCTGGATGCCCCACTGCAACCCACAGGGTACATCTGCCTCCTGGCCCACAGTCAGTGTGCCCCCAGACTCCCTTGGGGTGCTCCTGCAGTCCTGCCCCTCCCTCCGGGTGCCGGGGGGCTTGGCGGCGGCCCGCCCTTGAGCCTCTGCCACTCCACAGTGAGAGCACCAGGACACTCCTCACCCGGACCCTGCACAGAGCTGCCTGCTCACAGCAGCAGAGACCATGACCTAAAGCGGCTTTGTCGTGGCCTTCTGGGCGGACTTGTCTACAGAAACCGCTGGTGTCTGCTTCCACCAGGAGCCTCACTTTGAGCCTCTAAGGCAACAGGCCTAACCTTGTGGTGGCCCCCTGCCTACATGTATGCACCTGTATGTGTGTGTGCCTGTGCGTGCGTGTGTCTGTGTGTGCCCAAGGGTGTTCAGAGCAGGATATAAGATTGGGTTTCATAGGATGAGATGGATGCTAAAGCCAAATCCGAGGCAGGGGTGGGCTGACAGTGGAGCTGAGCAGAGAGCCCAGAGTGATCTTTGCGTTCATGGCGGTGCAGAGACCTTTCCCTGAGGAAGAACCGTCTTTGAGCAGTGCTGGTTTTGCTGGATGTCCCTGCGCAAAAGAGTGAGGGCGATGCTACCTCATGCCGTGTATGAAAACTGACAGGGAGTCACAGACCAGTAAAGAGCCGGACCCAAAATTCCTGGAAGGAAATAGGTACACATCTCATGACCTTGGGCTGGGCAATGGTGTCTTAAATATAACTCCAGAGGCACAGGTGACAAATGGAAAGGACAAACAGGACCTCTTCAAAACCAAAAACTTTGTGCTGCCAACATCATCATCAGGAAGGTGAAACTGCAGCCCAAGAATGGAAGGAAATATTTGCAAATCACATACCTAATAAGGGACTCATATCTAGAATATATGAAGAACTCTTCTAACCCAATAATAAAGACACCCCAATTTAAAAAGGGGCAAAGGCTCTAAACAGACATTTCTCCAGAGAAGATACATAAATGACCAGTAAAGTTGCTGAACATCACTAGCCACTGGGGAAGTACACTCGAACCACAGTCAGCTGCCCCTCATGCCACCAGGACAGCTGTGACCAAAAGACAGATGATTACAAGTGTCAGCAAGGGTGCAGGGCCTTTTTCTGTGAATGTGCATTTTATAGCAACTTACTTTTTGTATAAGTGCAATATATTTTCTCATTTCCCTGAGGATACTACTAATACATTTTTAATGTTTTCTTCTCCCTCCTTAACCTTTTATGCAGGTTGCTCTTGGTTTGTTTGGCTTCTGACTTTGAATCAGAAACTATTCAAATGTCTGCTGCCCCGTGGAGGTGCACCCATATTTAGGAGGGGCCCACAAAGGACTGTGAGCGCCCCATGCAGGTTGATGGACTGGGCTCAGGAACCCCAGTTTCAGAATCTTTGGGTTTCTTCTCTTGTATTCCTCAGGTTATAGGATAGAGTTTTCTAGTCCTGAAGGCACAAGCTTGGCTGCGGTTCTGGAAGCTCACTGGGGAGGTGGTTGGGAAGGCTCACATTCAGCAGATAATACTCCCTCCCCTTTCACTGCACCTGGCCCACTGACCCAGAACGGAGCCCCCAGACCACCCGTCTCAGTGGCCAGGGTAAGGGACAGTCAGTTTGCTGATTGGAATAAGGAATCTAGAGATCTGCTAGTTTAGAAAACTGCTTCATTTTTAAAATTCACGTACCATAACATTCACCATTTTAAGTTACTAATTCTCATGAAGCCAGTTATATGGAGTTTTTTTGTGTCTTTCAGTGTCATAGGTAAGAAATTGCTTAATCCAAGGTCACAGATGTTTTATATTTTCTTCTGAGTTTTGTAGCTTTAGCTCTTACTTGCAAGTCTTTGATCCGTTTTGAGTTAACTTTTGAATAGGATGTGAGGTTGGGATCCAGCTTCATGCTTTTGCGCACGGGCGCCCGGCCAGCTGGCACCATGTGCTCGGGAGTTGTTTCTTTCCCATGGGAAGGACTTGGCACCTTTGTCAGTTCACTGTAGATGTGAAGAACTGTAGAGTCCATTTCTAGACTCTCGCTTCCATTCCACCGACTGTCCTTATGCCAGTACCACACTGTCTGGTCACTGTAGCTTTGTAGTGAGTTTTGAAATGGAGGCATGTGAGTCACCAACTGCTTTTTAAATGATTTCTGGCACTTCTGTTCTCACTCTGACTTCTGAAAGTGGCTGGCCCAGCTGGTTCTGGAGTCCTGGGGGCAGAGTGGGGGTGATCTGTAATATGATTGGTTTTCTCAGCAGTAAACTTGTCTGCTAAGTCAGTTATCACTCATCTCCAGCGCTAAAATGCTGTCAGTTATCTTTTCCTGCAGTCTTCTGCCCCAGCAGATTTTTCTCTTTAAAGGTCTTTACTGCTGATTCAGTGGCATTTCAGGAGGGTGTGGGCAGTGATGTCCAGAGCCTGACGTTTGTGGGGCATGGGAGCAGGGGCTGCTCCCGCAGGCTGCCCCCAGCCCCTGAGCCCTGCCTGGAGTGATGTGCCAGGGCACCAGGTGTGGCCTGAGGGCCCTTGGCAGACATGCCCAGAGGCTGAGTGGTGCCCGCCGCAGCCTGACCACGAGCCCCTCTGGTGCTGGCGTGAGGACATTGGGCTGGACGGTCCCCTTGCAGGCACCCGGTGAAGGCTGAGATGCCAGCGGCCATACCAAGAGCCCTGCTGGGGTCCCCACCGCGAACATCTCATTTCCCTGACTCGTGTTCATGTGCCACACGCCCCCACCTGGCCCCTGACACTTGTCCTCTTCCGCCTCCAGGTCCCTGACGAGCACTTCTCCACCCTGCTGGCCTACCTAGAGGGGCTCAAGGGCCAGGCCCGTGAGCTGACAGTGCAGAAGGCTGAAGCCCTCATGCAGCAGCTGGATGGGGTAGGCGACAGCACAGACCCCCTGCTGCTGGAGAAGACCCAGCGTGTGCGGCAGGTGCTACAGCTGCTCTCCTAGGGCCGGGTGGCGGGCAGGCCTTCCCCTGCTGGGGGTCTGGGGCTCCAGCTGGGACCAGCAAGGTCACCAGCAGGTCTCAGGCTTCCAGGGGCTGGACCCTGTTCCTCCTGAAGGCACTTGAGCTCTGAAAGGACCACCTCTCCCTCCTGTCTCAGTCAGAGACTGTTCATAGATGAAGACAGGCAGTCCTCTCAGAGCAGAGCACTGGCACTCTGGCACAGCCCAGAGACACCAATCCTGGCTTCCCAGATCCCCCGAGGTCCCAGGGGAGCTGCTTATTGAGGGAAAGTTCTATTTTTCTACCAGGATGTCTTAGGGATTGGCCAGAGCCCCCCTTTCCATCAGCTGTGGTGCATCAATGTTGGGTGGGCCTGCCCCAGCCCCGGGCCCTGCACATTGGAGTGGGCTGCCCCCTGCTCAGACTGCACACTTCCTGGTCTCCTGCCATTTGCCCAGAGGTCTGGGCTGTGGCTTATCCACCTCTCACCTCCCTTCTGGGCCATGCCAGGGCCTTGCTGACCCATTTCAGGAAAAATCTGGCTACATTTTCAATAAAAACCAGCCCGCCTAGGCCATGGCTCTCAGGTGACCCATTCTCCAGAAGAGCTTTCTGGAGAGAGTGCGTGTCTGTCAGGCCGTGAGGCCCCGGGCGGCAGCCCTTCTGGTGTCAGTTCTGGCCACCTGCTCTGCGACCTGCCTCTTCTGGCATTGGCAGTGACCGTGTGGCTGCTCTCCCGGCCAGGAAGTGCACCTGCTCTGTCTGTGCGTTGACAAAGAGCATGTGCCTTGGGCCCTGAGAAGTCACAGGGTTCTGAGTGCACGGAGGCTGCACTCAGGGTGTGGTGGCTGGGCCACCTCCGCACACCTGCCCTTCATGCTCTGCAGGCCCTGCAGAGGATCAGGCAGTGGCGCAGGTGTGGCAGTCTTAAAACTTGTCCACCGCCCTTTGACACTCTACTCCATGGTGAGGGGTCAGCTTTCAAACTGGGAGAAGGCAGGAGTGGCGCCAAGTGACTTCCTAGGCAAGGAAGGGAGAGGAAGCAGCTGCCTGCTGGCACTCTCAGGACTCAGCCACCATGGTGAGCGGTGAGCTGTGCCTACCAAGTGTTGCTAAAATTGCAGATTTGTGACCCAAATGGTTGACTGCAGATCCCAGAACACAATGAGGCTGCATGATGAGAACCAGTTACATCCTGGATCACAGTGCCAATCATGAGGCGTAGGCCCTGGGCCTGGGCATGGGCCCCCTTATTCCAGAATGAGACCCTGGGCCTCCTGTGGCCACTCCTGGCCTGGCTGGGCCTCCCTGGCCGTGGCCCCTGGGGCTTGATCACAGAGCAGCATCCCCCGCTCTGGTTTGTGGGCACGGGGCCTGCTGTGAGGGCAGCTTCAGCTGCTGGGACACCCGTGGTGAGGAGCTCTTTGGAGCAGCCAGACTGGGACCCCAGCGGGGTGACCTGGGCCCTGGGCAGGCACCTCGCTGGCCATATAGGGCTTCCTTCTTCCCTGGACTCTGGGTCACTCCACCACACCACTGTGAATGAGTGGCGCTCAGCCACTCTTTGGAGGATGTTCGGCCCGACCCCACCCCCACCCCTGCTGCAGCTGAAATTCTGATCATGCACGTGCGCACATGTCTACCTCTGGGTGAGAATGATGGGCCAGCACCTGCTCTGGCCGGATGGCTCTTGGGGCAGAGTGAGGCTCCCTGGCCACCCTGTGTCTGTTAGTGGGGAGCTGAGCAGGACACTTTGGGGGCTGCAAGCCTGCGTTGCAACTCCACAGATGATCTTCAGCCAAGCAGCAAGAGTGCCAGCCTCGCCATACCTGGGCTCTGAACCATCTGAAAAACACACTGGGAAATTACAGTAAAGGAAGATCCACAAGGTACAAAGCAGAGGCAGGTTCTTTTTAAGGAACTGTTGTTGACTAACAAGGAAACATAGCTCTGGGTTTCCTGGCAGTCAAGTCAAGAAGGGAAATGTGATGGCCCCTGCCCTCCTTGTTAATGGGCCAGTGGCTCCCTCACTGGAGCGGAAACGCTCCCTGACACTTGGAGGGCTGTCCCCATTGAGAGCTCCTGTCAGAGCATGAAGGGCCACTCCTGACAGCGCCCACTGGCAGCAGGTGAAGAGGGGAGGTGACACAGGTACTCAGGGGCGTACCTGAGTGTGGGACATGCTCCAGAACCGGGCAGCCCTGGGATTCCCATGCTGGTCAGACATGGGGAAGGGTCTGAGCCCTGGGGCCAAGCCATGGCTTGGGGATGGCTACACATTCCTAGGGGTTTTATTAGTCCCTGACCAAGCAGGCCTGCTGGGGGCACTGGGCTGAGGAGCTCCCTAACAATGGCCATTGTTCTCCCATCGGACTCCCAAACTGGAAGCAACCCAGAGGTCCACGGCAGGTAAGCTGAGGCCCCACAGGATGGCCACCCACTGGGCAGGAGAAAACCAAGGTTGGCCATGAAGGCACTGTGTGGTTCATTTACCCCAAATTCTGTAAATGGGGGCTCACCTGGTGACAGATTACAGGTGGGGGACAGGCCGGTGCCCTGGGGGAAGCGCCCACTGGAGGCTGCCCAGCACGTGCGGGTGCTGAACTCGCCAAGCAGGGCATCTCAGTCTGGTTGTGAACCTGCTCCCAGAGGTGAGGCAGCCAGTGCTCGTGGGCTGAGCTCCAGGAAGAAATGTTAAGGCCGCATTTGTTGTCACCCTGAAGCCCGTTGTTACCAAAGTTGTGTGTCCAGTGGGTAAACAGCAGCACTGCTAAGTCAGAACGCTGTTCTCCGGCAGGTGGGGTGGATGGGGCAGTCCATGTGACCAGCAATGGTGACAGGTGGTGGCCAGCACGCCGGCCTTCAGGAAGCAGTGCCTTCTCCCAGTTCTAGGATTTGCATCTAGTGGTTGCCCAGGAGTCTCCTGCTACCTGCTGACTACTATCCAAGGCAGCTCTCCCTGCCCCCTGAGCCTCTGGGAGAGTTGTCTCTGTTTTTGGGTGAATCAGTGTTCAGCATTTACAGCTGTATGATGATTATCGTCAGGATGCCCCTGATGGAGGCTGCCCCATGGCACAGGGTGCAGGGGAGGCTGAGTGCACAGTGCTTCTGGAGTTGGGAGGCCACGGAGCCAGGCTAGCCCAGGAGATCTCAGTGTGAGTCTGTCCTGGGTGCTTGATCTTCATCCATAGGATGTCTGCTCTGGGAGGCCAGGCCCTGAGACTTTACACTCAGCCTGGGTTCTGGACAGTTTGCTTGTGGCTTGGAGGTGGTTCTCCGTGGCTTAGGAAGGATAACGCACATGTGGTGTGGCCAGGCGTCCCTAAAGCCTGAGGCAGAGCTGGGCCAAGCTGCCTGCCAGCCCTGAAGGTCCCCCCACTAGAGAGGCCGGGGGCCACGGCTGCCCACATGATCCCAGGCCTGGCGTCCAGCTTGTCTGTCACCTGATGGACATCTTCAGGGGCTTGTGTTGAAGGTTGTGCAGCTGGAGGCCTAGCTCACTGGAGGTGCAGCTGGCAAGAAATAGGATCCCAAACTTGTCAGTGCCCATGGATGGGTAATGTATAAATAGCACAGCCCCTCCACACTATGGAATATTACTCAGCCCTGAACAGGGAGGCAGTCCCAACAACTGCTCCAGTGGGATGCACCCTGTGGCCCCATGCTGGGGGAGGTAAACCAGTCACAGGAGGACACACACTGCAGGGTTCCACCTTGTGAGGTCTCTGGGGGAGGCAAATCCAGAGACAGAAGGTGGATGGTGGGGGCTGGGGAGGGGAGGGATGCTCAGTGGGAACAGGATCAGTGTGGGGAGTTGGGAGGTCCTGGGGATGATGCACAGCAGTGTGAATGTGCTTATTGCCCCAAGGTGGACTGAGAATGGCTAAGAGTAGGTTTATATTATGTATGTTGTGCCATAATAAGAAAAATACAAAACAAAACCAACTAGGACTTGAGGGTGAAGAGATGGCAGGTGGTCTGAAAGGCCACAGGGGAGGCCTGTGCATCCCCTTGCATCCCACCTGGTCTCCACGATGATGAGTTAGATGAAGGGATCCTCGGGGTCCTCAGGGGAGGGCAGCACCAAGTTCCTACTCCCCTCTCAAGCCCTGGGCTGGGGCGGGTGAGGGTCCTGCCCAGCCTGCCCTCTGGGCTGAGTCTCGGAACAGGGTCGGACAGGGGTGCCCACCACCAGCCCAGGGCTTGCGTCCCCACGTTCAGTGGGCCACAGGGTGTTGAGGTCACCGTGTGGGTCTCCCACCTGTAGGTGGCTCCATGCAGCCCAGCCAGAGCTGCAAGCACGTGCCCCACAAAGAGCCTCCTAGCCTGTCCAGGTGGACCCCTCCACTGGGGTTCAGGGGCTCCTCCAGGAGTGTCCACCTCCCCTGAAGGCCCCTGGTGGGTGGGAGGCCGTGAGCCTCCCCCTGTCTCCACTCCCCGGCTTGCTTCAGGCCACCGTGCAACCTGGGACCCAAACAGCTGCCTGTGGGGCTGAGGGGTGCAGAGAGTATGGTTTTAAAGCCTTTTCCACCAGGACCTTCACCTGTCAGCCCTGTAGAAATTCTTTTTAAATTTGTGCTTGGCAAATTAAACAACTACCGTAGAACATCAGCTAACCAATTGGGGTCTTTCAGGAAAACTTAAACACCTTTGGAAGTGGTCCATTTTCATGCCTGTCTCGTCAGTTAGAAAATAAGTCTCAGTTTCTGCATCCTGCCGCCCAGGCTGAAACTGGACCCACCCACCCTGGAGGTGCCCTGAACCCCATTCCTATGCAGGGGCGGGGGCGGTACTCCTATCAACGGGGTCCCAGCAGCTCTGCATTTAAACTGAAGAAAAGGGGCCCCCAGACGCCAGCTTCCCACTGTAATGCCAACGTCTCCCCGCAGCCGCCCACTGCCCCCTCAAGCCCTCCCTCACGGGGGCAGGGTCTCTTCCAACCACAGCTTCCCACGGCCAGTCTGGGATGTTCTGCCTCAGCTCTGAAGCATGCTGCTACTTTGCCCCCAAGTCGTGAAGTCAGATTTGTGCCCACTGGGTCATGTGACCCCTCGAATGACGTGCCCGCCAGCCCCGTGCCCCTCATATCATGGAAATGCCGCATATTTCAGACAGGCAGGCAAACACCCCAGAGACAAAGCGGTCCGGACCAGCCCGCACCTTGTCCGCGGAGCCCTCGGGGCCCACACTGCAAGCACAGCGTCCTGATACGTCTGCACCACAGCCCTGCCTGTGATCTGTGTGCTGGCCCCTGAGGTCTGTGTCATTTCCCTTTGACCTCCGGACACTGCTCCATGGGGGGTCATGCAGTTTCCTTCCCCCTCCCCTCTGCAGGGGTGCCCAGCACTGGAACCACCAGGCTGTGGGGGCCCCGCCCAGTCTCCGCCAGTGTCCTGTTCACCAGCTTCCATGTGGGCAGGTGCCCCACATTGCCTCGGACAGATGGTCAGATTTACTGATTTTTGCTAATCTGATGCCCTCCTCATCCTCACCCCCAGCTGGGAGCACATGTGTGCCCCCCACCCCAGCCTCCTTCCAGGCCGGAAGGTGAACTCTGGACAGGCAGAAACCACGCCTTATTTGCCCAGGACCCTAGCCTCCTCCTGTCCACTACCCAGTCCTATGTGCCCTGCCATAGAGACGGGCAAGGAGCTGGTTCTAGGCTTTTTAATTTCAAAAGCCAAGGCTTCAAAAACAGAAGGGTCTAGGGTAGATGAAATGCGGAAGCAGAATAGTGACCAGAGAAGAGGCTCTCAGAGGGCGGTTGGGCTGAAAGGCTGCTTTGCTTCCTCACCAGCCCACTGCACCCCCCACCCAGGGCCTGGGCCCACTCAGCTGTGGAACAGGGCAGCCCCCACTGTGAGGGTGGCCAGGGTGGGAAGGCCCCAGGCCACGAGGGGGTTGCCAGATAGAACACAGGATGCCAGATAAATGTGAATTGTAGATAAGCAATAGTTGTGCCCGTGTAATGGTGTCCTGTGGAGGCTTATGTGGCAAAGCTGCGTCAGTGAGGTTGCTGGGCAGCCAGGGTGCCGGTGGGGGGCAGGCTGGGTGCACAGGCAGGAGCTGGAGGGGTCTGGGAGGAGGGAGGGAGTCCTGCTCAGACTGGGGGCCCTGGGGGAGACAGGAGAAGTCTGGGGACTCAGGTGCAGTACCCAACAATGGGCCGTCCATCCTGCCTCCGTCATCCGCAGAGCACCCCAGGCAGGGACTCTGCTCGGCAGTGCAGGCCAGACCACCCTCAGTCAGTGCCTTGGTTCCTGGGCACTGCACACAGGGCCTGGGCTGGCGGCCTCATGGTGAAGGCCGGGGTGGGCGTGGTATCCAGGGTGGCGGGGCTGAGGCCAGGTGGGGGCAGCAGGCGGTACCTCTGGAGAAGGCCGGCAAATAGCAGGAACAGCTCCGACCGGGCCAGGGCCTCCCCAATACAGACACGGCGGCCTGCAGGGACAGGGCAGCCCCAGTGAGCCCAACCAGTCTCCCAAAGAGGGTAAGGGGGCACCCGGGGAGGACTTGGGGGGCCACCTGGTAGTATGGCCTGGTGACTCAGACACCATCTAGTTCTGAGTGGCAGTCGCGGGCACTGGAAGCTCTGGCTGTGGCAGTGTCTGCAGCCAGCAAACCTTCTTCCCACATCCCTGTGACATGGCCTCCCAGAGCAGGTGAGGGGCCCACACCACCCCCCTCGCCTGCGTGAACCTGCAGAGAAAGGCAGGAAGGCCGCCCGCCTCACAAAGCGCCCCTCGGCATCCAGGAAGTGGCCAGGGTTGAACTGGTGGGGGGTCTCCCACTGTGTCTTGTCCAGGAGCACGGAGCTCAGAAGGGGGACCACAGGTGTGCCCTGCAGGCAGGACAGCAGGCAGACCCAGACGGGAGCCCTGAGAGAGGGTCCCCAGCGTGGGGGGTGGGGGTGGGTCCCTGGGTCCCTCCCACCCCTGCCTGGGTCAACTCCTTCCACACCCGCTGGGGCCAGCATTAGCCCCAGCTCACATGTAGAGCATCCCGTGGGCCTCAGCAAGGCCCCGTGACAGCCCCCCACCCCACCTTGTGCACACAGAAGACCCAGGTCTGTTGCGAGGAAGCCCCGGGACTGAGGTTGAGGGCTGCCCTCCTCCTGAACCCTCTTTCCTGCCTCCCACGGGCACCCTTAGTCCCTGAGGTGCCCAGCCCAGCCCACCACAAGTGCTGTGGTCCAGGAGGGCTCAGAGTGGTGGTGGGTCCTGGCCACCCCACCTTGGGGAGCAGGTAGGTGCCCAGCTGCATGTCAGTGGCCGTGCAGCGCGGCACGTGGGGCAGGAGCGTGATGAACCGCTGGACCTCGTGCAGTACAGCATTGGTGTAAGGCAGCAGCTGCTGGTCCTCCAGCTGCGGAGGCCGCTCTGGCCCCAGCACACGGTCCAGCTCCTCCTGCACCTGGCCTGCAGCGGGAGGTAGGTGCCAGGGTCCCTGGAGCCCACCCCCTTGGCCTGGGAGCCCCCAACCACCAGGCAGGAGGGCTCACTCACCCTGCACACCCGGGTGCTTGCCCATCAGGAGGGCGGCCCATTGCAGCGTGGCTGACGTGGTCTCTGTGCCAGCCATGACCATGTCCAGGGCACAGGCCACCACATTGGCCTCGGCAAACAGGCCCTCGGGGTCTTTCCCCTGCAGGGAGAGGTGGGGCTGTGTGCTCAGCTGGGGGCTGGGCCCTGTGGACCCCAACCCAGCCCAGGCCTCAAGAAGGGCAGATGACACACTGGTGGAAAAGATGGAGCCAGGACCCACTGGGCACCACCAGCCATGGTTGTTTTACTGCCTCCTCTCAGTCCCCCAGAGGATAGGTGGGCCACACCTCATTTCACAGACTGAGAGAAGAGGCTTGGAGAGGCCCCCAGCCAGCAGGTGGAGGCGTGCGGTGCGGGACCAGCATGGACCCCTTCCCGGCCCCACTGGCCCTGGATGCCCCTGTCTCGCGCGCACCTGGCATTGCCGCACCAGGGCATCCATGTAGCTCTGCACTGGGCCCCCCTGGAGTGTGGGGGGCCGCTGTGCCTCCAGGAGGGTCCTCAAGATGGTTCGCACCTTCTCAATCTTCTGCAGGACAGGCCGGTGCAGCTGGAGGAGGGCCCCGAGCCAGGGGTATATGTTGAACAGCTGGGGCGAGATGGGGGGTGGGGTGAGGCCACGCATCCCACAGCAGGCCCCACACCTGTCCACAGGTGTGTTCACCAGTCAGTCCTATAGCCACAAGAGGGTGCCCCCAGGTGGGGCTCTGAGTGCTGGGGTCACAGGATGGGTGATCTGCCTAGGTGGTTTCATGGGGCCACAGCAGGGACTGTACCCACCCCCCTGCTGTCCATCCACCTAGTGGTAGGACGGAGATGGGGCAGGTCTGCCACGAGAATTACTTTGAATCTGCTGCAAGCCATTCAGAAAAAGATTTGCTGGCATCAGAGCTTCCTCAGTCTGCTGTCCATCTGACAAGGTTGGAGGACTGCACGTGTCCAGCATGCAGGCAGGACTCTGTAGGTGGTGACTGCTCTCTGGGCCACACCAGCACTGCTGTGTCCTCCAGAATATTAACTATCCCTGATGCACGTGCTCAGGGCACCTCAGCGGAGCAGCCGCCATGGGATGGAAGGCCAGGGAATGCTCTGCCCTTACCTCCAGCCTCCCCTCTGGGGGCTCCTGGGTGGCCATGGCCAGCCCAGCTTCCACAGGGAGGCCAACTCCTGCCGGTGAGCATCAAAGGCTCCTCCACCCATGGGCTAGTGTCAGAAGCCATGGGCTTCAGATCCCCTGGGACTCGCGGCTGCTGGCAGCCTTGCCTGGGGCTCAAGGCCTGGCTGAGGCTGGGGCGAAAAGCTGTGGGGGCGCTGTGAATATGCCCCACACAGGCCACGGGCTTAGGGGAGTCATGGCTATGGGTGGCTGCTGCACACATGAACACACTGAATTTGGGGAAGGAAGTGTGCATGGCCGGGAGCTCTGGAGATCAGGCAGTCGTGGGGCCTCTGACAATGGGAGGACTCCTGGGGGACATCCAGGCCCCCCCAGGGAGGAAATGCCCTGCCCCCACTATTGCAGGCCGGCGGTAGGGACCACTGCTCCAGGCTGCCTAATTTCCCAGAGCATAGGGACTGGCCTGGGGCCACAGGGCCAAGTGACCTCAGGAGCTGGCCGTGCCTGGCCTCCTGGCTCCAGATGTGGGACTGCTGTTACGAAGTGGCAGCTCACCTCTCTCTGGTAGGGGGCCGTGCTGGGGTCAGCTCCCTATCCCCCTACCCTACGCCAGGAGCAGCAACCTCTCACCTGCAGGCTGGGGCTCCCCAGGAGGATCATGACCTCATCGATGAGGCCCAGCAGGGACACGAACACAGGATCCCCGTAGTCAAACCGCCGGCCGAACAGGAGAGTGAAGGTGACGTTGGAGGGGGCCCAGCCCAGCAGGGCCAGGGGGAAGGGCCGGCCTGGGGGCAGGGAACAGAGGCCTCAGGGGCGAGCAGTCCCCAGGAAGGGGTGTGCTGGCCCCCACTCACCTCCATAGCTGTCCAGCTGTCCCGCGAGGCACCTCAGTTCCTGCAGGACCTTGTCAGCCACAGGCTGCCTCCCCACGCCCAGGCTGTGGAAGGCGTGCACCGTGAACTGGCGGGCTGCCCTCCAGCGCGCCCCAGACGAAAAGAAGACACCTGTGGGCCAGACGGTGCCCAGTGAGCAGCTCCAGGTAATGCAGGCAGGGAGCAAGTGCGGCCATCAGGGCCCAGGCAGCCTGTCTGGGGCCTCAGCCTCATCTTGAGCCTGCTCTCCCAGGAGCTGGCCCTGGCTGGGCCTTTCCCACTGCACTCCAGCCCTCTGCACGCCCGGCCTGCCCCTCCCTGGGAACCATGCTGGGAGTGCTCTCCTGGGGCCCCCATCTTACTGGAGTCCTGGGGCGCCCATGGCCGGGACGCAGGGCTGGCCTTTGCCCCTTTCCCCCAGCAGCATACCTACCCCCACCTCCCTGGATGAGCTGGAAAATGGCGATGGGGGGCCGGTCGGCCAGTTCCTGCCCGGTGCCCACCAGGGCTTCCCTCACTGCCTCGTAGCCCGTCAGCACCACTGTCTTCTGGCACCCCAAGTGGACTGTGAACACCGTCCCATACCGTTCTGAGAGCTGCTGGGGATGGGCAAGGGTCACCCAGTAGCCCCCTCCTGGTCCCCTGGGAGGCCTGCAGGCCATCCTGTGTGGGGCAGACACAGGGGTACTCAGAGCTGGGGTGGCCAGGTGGGGGACGGGGGCAGCTGGAGTGGCCGGGGGTGTGCTTGGCTGGAGCAGGGCCTGGGGGACGTCCCCTTCATGAAGGCAGGGCCACCATTTGGTAGTGTGTGTAGCTGTCATGAGCTTCTTTTCAGGGGAAACACTCTCTTGAGCCCCAAGAGGAGGCGGGGTAAGAGGAGCCACCTTCCAGGTGACCTGTGCCAGACTCCCAGGTTCACATGGGAGTGGGCCTGATGGACTTGGCCCCTGAGGCCCTACCCCTGCTCCCTGTCTCCCAGCACTGAAACCCAGATAGACAGGAGTGGCTGCTCCCTCTGACCCCCTGCCCAGCATGAGGGTCCAGAATGAGATCCTGGCAAAGGCTGGCCTCTGGGGCCACAGCATCTGCCCAGTCCCCTTCTGTCCCCACAGCATCCTTGCCCAGGGCAGGGAGGGCTGACACGTCCCCACTTTACAGACGAGGAAACAGACCTGGGGTCAGGAAATGAGTTGCCGTCCATCCTGTGCACTGAGGGTTGGAGCAGGGCCTGCCCTTCCTGTCCACTGCCTGCTCTGCCCTGGCACACCAGAGGGCAGCCTCGGATGCAGCCCTGGGCACAGGGCCTGAGAACCCCGGCACCTGCACCCAGTTGGGGGGCCACTTCAGCCAGGGTGCTCGGGGCTCATCAGAGCTCCCACCTGTAGGAAGCTGTGCCATGGGGAGGGGGCTGGACAGCCGTCACAGTGGGGGCCAGTCCTGCACCCCCACTCCACCCCTGGGCCAGCCATCTCCTGGCTTCAGGTCAGGGCGGCCTGCCCTCAACATGGGGTTAGAGCCATCAGGTCTCCAAAAAGGCCTGCCTGGCAGACACACTCCCAAGAGCACTGCCTTCTTCCCTTTGCTGCCCCTAAATCTGGCCCTCCTGCAGGCTCTTGCCAAATGCTGCCTCGTCCAGAGAGCCCTCCAGGCATGCCATTCCTGGCCCATGCTCCTCAGATGGCCCATCTGCTTCCCTGGGGGGTGGGGCATCTTTCTCTTCCCCAAGGCAGGATAGTGCCCAGCCACATGTGTCCCCTGCCAGGCCCGTGCCAGGCTGGCTACGAAACTCCTCCCCCACAGGGGTTCTGAAGCATGGGGGCCGGGGCACCTGAGATGGGCGCTCAGAGCTGGCTTGGCCCAGCAGCAGGACCTGTGCCTCAGGACGTGCCTGCTCTGCCCTACCTCCATCAGTGACCGGTCCTGCTGGGACACTCGCAGCAAGTGCAGGTTCCCGACCAGCGGCAGTGGGCGCGGCCCAGGGGGCCAGCGAGGGGCTGTGGAGGGGGTGTGGGTGCAGGCGCAGAGCAGCCCCCAGAGCCCCAGGAGCGCCAAGAGGCCCAGGAGCAGCAGAGCCATGAGGACGAAGGCGGCGAGGCCCCAGCTCCCCTTCCTGGGCCCACTGTCCCGCCCTGTGCCTTATAGGCCTCCAGGAGGGTGTGCCAGCACCCCACCCGCCCCCCACCACCCTGAGAATGTGGAGCGAGCAGTTTACAGGCAGCGAGATAGTCAGGCAGCTTAAAGTGACAGGCGTGCGTGGAATGTGGGGCTGAGCCTGTGGCGGAGTCCTAGGCTGTCTGGGGGGCCAGTGGCCGGGCCCCGTGCTTGGGCATCCTCATTCCTGGCTGCTATGAAGGCAGGTCTCAACCTTCTGCCTCAGTCTCCCCAGCAGAGCCGGGGTTCGCAGGGCTTTGGGACCCGGCCACAGCTCTGCCTGGGACCACCAGGCCTAGAGGCCCTGGGATGGCCACGAGGGTCTGCACAACAACGCCTCAGGTCCCTGGGCCTTCAGAGGCCACCAGCAGGGCCCCACCGCATGTCCCATGCGAACTTGCCTGAGTTTGCTCCTTCGTGGCTTTCTGATGTCTCCTGAGGTAGGAGGCACTGGCCTGGGCCAGGGCAGGGGCAGGTGGGCAACAGGCAGCCGAGTTATGAGCCCCTGCCTGTCTGTGCTGCCCTTTGGTCTCCTAAAGCCTGGTGGCCCAGCTTTGGGGGAGGAGGTGCCTCTGCAAGTGAGCTTTGAAGGGGAGGGCCTTTGGCACCAGAAGTGGCAGGGCCTGCTTTGCACCATCTGCCCCGACATGAGGCAGCCAGAGGCCCGTTCCCGGCAGCTGGGCCCCTCACCACGGGGCCTGTTTCTGGGGCTGCTGTCCACACCCCTCCCAGACCCCAGCGTCGAGGCAGCCTGAGGGCCCTCACGCCCCTCCCAGCCTTGATTGCGCACCTCTTGGGTGGGGCCCACCACCAAGCAGGTCGCCAGTCATGTTGTGCAGCACAAGGCACAGTGAGGGAGGGTCTCTGGGTCATTGGGCTGAGCACCCATTTCCAGGGTGGATATGGGTGCCTGGGCTGGGGTCCCGTCTGCTCAGGATAGTTCAGTTGGTTCAGGATTTATTGAGCTCCTGGGCAGGCCGGGCACAGCCAGGAGCCAGGGCTGCAGACACTGGCAGCATGGGGGTCCTAAAAGGGCCATGTGGCAGTGACTGTCCCCAAATCGCTGGGCATAGAGCTGCAGAGGAAGCCCTGGGGTGTCCCAGCAGAGGGGTAGTGGGGGCGGGGCCTGGAGTGAGCGGAAGAGGAGCCGTGCCTGGCTTGAGCGGGGGCCCGGCAGGAAGCTCGGGGTCCCCATTGGGGCTCCATCCTCCAGGGCACATGTGGGCCCTGCTGGCCACCATGGCTGGGGCTTAGTGCTGCCCACTGCCTACCCCTGTGGGCGGCTCTGCTGTGGGAGGACTGTCCAGAACCAGCCCATCTGAGCCCATCTTGGCGTTTTATCTGCAGGAGCTGTGAGCTACTTCTGACAGCCAAGGGGGCGGTCACCCCATTTCCCGAAGGAGGAATCAGGGCCCAGCCATGGGACATAGGCAGCACCCACCGTGGCTCTTGGCATTGGCCACTTTGACCAGTGCTATGCCAGCATCCTGCCCATGCAGTGAGGCAAGGGGGCAGGGCGCAGGCCCAGGAGTGAAGACCCCTCCTTCACTCACTGAGCTGCCTGGAGCAGTGGCCTAACCTCTCTGAGCCTCTGTCTGCCTAGTCTGCACAGTGGGCATTCTAATTCATGGTTGGCTCCTGGGATTAGCATGGACAGAGTCAGCAGTGTGCCTGGGGGGATGTGGCAGGCAGGCCCCTATGGCAGGGTGGGCCCAGACCTTCTCAGAGGAGAGCCACTTGGAGTCATCAGTCAGATCCGGCCTGTGAGCAAGGAACTTGGGGCTCAGCCCTGAATCTCTCAGGCACCATTAGTGTCAGGGGGTTCGCCTGCTTCCACACCCTGCAGAGAGGTCTGGTCCAGCGTGGTGCCTATGGTTTCTGAGGAGCTGCTGGCCTGCTGTTTGGGGTCAGGGCCTCAGGCTGGGAGCTCTGAGCCCACTCAGACTGGAGTCCCTTCTTAAAACTGAGAACGAACTCCCAGAAACAAGGGGGAGCAGTCCACCCCCAAACCACAGTGCCCAAGGCCAGCCCGGCTGCCTCACCCAGCCCCCAAGCCCTGTGGCCCTGCCAGAATCAGCAGCACAGGACAGTGCTCGGGGGACCAGGGAGGGGCCAGAACAACAGCCATGTCCCAGAACCCCTGGCTGTCAGGTTCCATGGCGAAGGCGAGTGGAATTAGAAGATGGAGGTGAGGCTGCTCACAAGGGTCCCAGATGCATTCTCCATGGGCACGGTGAAGCCCCAGGGCCTCAGAGGGCAGATGGGGTAGCCAGAGGGATGGAGGACGGTGCCTCCAGGAGCTGGATGAGGCCAAGGTGGGACATGCCTTGGAGACCCCAGAGGATTTCAGGCGGGCTGAGCCACCTCCCGTTGGTCTGCAGGCAGCCAGAGGGTGGGCTGAACTATCTTCAAGAGTGAGTGTTCAACTGTCAAAGGCCATGGCCTGTGACCTGCTCTTGGAGGTCAGCACATCCATCGTCTAGGTACCAATGACAATGTTCAGGCTCATGACTTCTGAGCTCCAAGGTCCTGCCTGCACCCAGGGGTTCTACAAAGGTGCCTGGAGCCACCTAGGTGGGACCCCCTCCATGTCCCACGGCATCTGGGCCCAGCTGCTCTCTGCCCACTGGGACTCTTGATAGGAAAAAAACCCAGACTGAGAGCGGTGTCCTGGGTCCAGTGCCCACCCAGAACTTTAGAGTGACCTTATGTAGAGAGGGGTCATTGCAGACCTGATCGAATTTAGATGAGGTCATCCTGGATTAGGGTGGGTCCTAATACCATGATGGGTGTCCTTATAAAAAGAGGGTACAGATGCCGAGACTCAGGGAAGCCCTTCCATACTAGGACAGTGGCAGAGATGGGACACCAGGTACCCAGGGGCTCCAGGAGTTGGGAAGGAGCCTCCTGGATCCTTGGGAGGGGGTCCCTGCCCACACCCTGACTCAGACTGCCAGCCTCCAGAACTGAGAGGAGTGGGGTGTGTGTCAGCCCCCCTGTTGTGGTGTTCTGTCCCAGCAGCCCCAGGACACTCATACAAGTGGTATTCAGAAAATGAACCTAACCTCACAGGGAAAGGCAAAGCCCCTTCATTGTTGCCCTCCAGGTCACTGGCCATTGACCCCAGAGAGGTCACTTCACTTGACTTAGCATTTAGTGTTGCCCCGGGCCAGGGCTCCAGCTAGTTTTGTTAACTTGTAAAGGATAGGAAAGAGGGCAGTGCTTTTTTTTCCTATAAAAATGCAAACAGTTTCTGCCTGGCACAAAAGAGAATCCCAAAGGTTATGGTTTTATTGTCCTGTGAGACATTAACTAGCCCTCTGTCCTGTTCAGTGGTCTTGCTCCAGCATCCTTCCCTCCTCTGACTAGACACAGATACACCGGGGTTAGGGGCATTTTTCTCTAAATTCCACCTCTCCAAGTTTTCCTCACTAATGGGTTCAGTAAAGCTCGGACACATGCTCTGCATACATCTCTGAGAACTATGTTCTCAGCCTTCTGAGAAGTATGCATTGACAGCAGAATTTATTAAAATGGAAAGATCAAAGGACTGATCCTGGGGCCAGATGATGTTATTAGGATTTGGATGAATTCTCACTTCTGGGGTCTGCTGGCCTTACTGTTGGTGGGCTCTCTGTTCCTGGTAGATGACTACGCACCAGCCAGGCCCACTGCCTCCCAGCTGTGGTCCAAGGCATCTTCTGCCCACTCCATCCTCATGGCTCACGTAGATCCCGGGGCAATGTTGTGGTTAGATCTGGTTGGCCAGGCCCAGCAGGCCAGATGCCCAACCCTGAGCATGCCCCAGGGCCAGGAGCATGCAATGCTCTGGCTGCCTGGCTGAGGCCACCCCTGACCCGAGGGTGGGAGGTGCTCCCCAGAGGGGTTTGGAGTCACACAGACCTGGTTTCAGCCCCTACTCTTGTCAGCTGCGGCAGATGGCATCTTCCAAGGACAGCCACAGCAACTGCCCACTCACGAGCCTTCTGCCCTCTCCTCTGAGAGCAGTGCTCCCTGCTGGGTGGGGGCTTGTGACCAGGGCAGGGCAGTGCAGTGCGACTTCTGTGACACAGCTTTCACCTACTTGTCTTGGGGGCCTTGCGCACAGGACCCAGCCTCTATTCTGAGAGGAAGCCAAGCAGCAGGGAAGCCCCATAGAGAGGGACCCCAGCCTGCAGAGCCCGGCCAGGCCCCCAGCCATGAGTGCCCCTGCTGGTGCCATGTGGGGCTGGCTCCCCCAAGGCCTGCCCACATTATGAATTCATAAGCAAGCACAAATGTTTGCTGTTTCACACCAGTGATCTGGTCTGTCACACGGTGTGGGACACACAGGCCACACACCTCTGGGCAAGGACTTGGCCTGTTTCTCTGTGTGGACTGAGGATACCACCTGCCTAACTGGGTGCATTCTTCAAACATACTAACAGAACATCCACTGTATGCCAGGCACTGTTCTGGGTCTCTTGTGAAACTGCCGGGCACATAAGAGGGGTTCCGGAAACGGTCCTCCCCTGCCATAAGGGTCAGGGTCTGTGTGCCGCAGATAAAATCCCTTCCCTTCTGTCTCAGTTAAACATCTGGTACAGCCAACAATCGCTTGACAGGAACAGATGCGTCAGTTAAAAGTTGGCTATCCCCTCTAGGTCACAGGGACTTCAGTGCTTCACTTGTCCCTCAGGCCACTGGACTGAGGCTGTGGAAGCCCCAGGGAGGGGCTGTCACTTTGCCTGCTCAGTGGTGAGATCTAGCCAAGTAGAAAAGTGCTATTTGCTGGGTAATAAAAGTGCCCTGGACACATTAATGAGTAACCCAGCACGGCCCCTGGGTCCAGCTAAGGAAAAGGGTTGTTTGTATGACAAGAACAAGGTGCAATTTTCCCTCTGTAGTCTTAAGTGGGCCCAGAGCCCCAGGCCAATCAAGGCCTGAAAACTGGAATGAGCTTTTCCAGCAGCCTGGGACCCTCTGAGGACTCCTGCCAGACGGCCCACCAACCATGCTAGCACTGGACACACAGCCAAGCCCACACCCAGGCCCAGAGGCCCAGTAGTTCACACGCAGAGGAGCAGGCATGCCGGGGACTCAGCGAGGGGCACTGGATGCCTTGGGGGTCACCCATGCCAGGCCTTGCTAAGGGGCAGGCCCCAGGTGGGGTGTTAGGGCTTGTAGGCAGGCAGTTCTCTGCAGGACTCAGGAACTGCTCTAGCCCAGCCCCAATGTGAGAGGGAGCGGAGGTACTGGGCCCTGCTGGGTCTGGGAGAAGAGAGTCCGTCCAGATGCCCAGCGCTGAGCTCTGTGTTGCTGAGGCCCCACCTGCTGGTCTCCAGCTCATGGTGCACGGGGTGGGGTGGGGGGGGGGAGTGCTGGGTGGAGGCGGGGGCTCCTGGCAGAAGCCCAGACAGCAGGGTGAGTAGAGAGGGCAGTGAACTCCTTTCCCTCAGTTGAAAGCGGAGGCCCTGGGTGGGGTGGTCAGCCAGGGTACCGGCTGGAAGGGGCCCTGCTGAGAAGCTGGCATCTCCACTGAATCCTTTGCTTTGTTACTGTTGCCATAACAACAATCCTAAGTGCCTGCCAGGGCCTTAGCTATTCAGATGCACTCTGATTCTGTTAAAGGGTGGACTGCATCGTCCTGAATCCATATGTTGAGACTAAACCCCAGTATCTTAGAACGGGACCTCTTTTTTGGCAAAAGGGCCATTGCTGATGTGATCAGTTAAGATGAACTTACGAGGACGGGCCTCAACCCAATAGCTGCTGTCCTTAGGGGATGCCTCGTGATGATGGGAGGCGGTTGGGCAGGATGCGTGTACAGCCAGGCACACGCCAGCGAGTGGACTGGCCTGGGGCAGATCCTCCTCGGGGGTCCCTAGGAACCAACCCTGGGGACGCCTGGGTCTCACACCCGAGAAGCAGTTCTGCGCTCAGCCTCCCAGCAGCGAGCGCTTTGGAGCAGCCGGGACGCTGAGTCCGCTGACCTCGGAGCCACATGGCTTCAACGGGCGGTCGACTTACACGCGGATTTTCTTCAGTACATACATTAGAAATTTTTTCGGAGATTTGGACCATTTGAAAGAACATTTTCTTTTCTCCAGCTGACCTTATCCTACGAAGAGCAGATATTACAGATACAGGCAAACTGCGAGCTCCTCGTTGTAGCCGGGCAGGTTCCCGTCAACGGGCTGTTGGGAAGCGGCGGGACTAGCTCCGCGGTGGGGGTGGGGGGCGGGGGTCCATTCCGGGAGCTGTGCAGCAGGGATGTGGGGGGACCAGCTCCTAGTGGGCTGGAGCTATACGTCCCTGGGCTAGGCGCCGGACCTCGGGTAACTGTTCTGACCCGGGAGGCTGTGAGGGTTGCACGGTAACCCACCCGCTGAGTCTGCGCGGCCTGAGCGCCCAGGGAAAGCGCCCGCGCGGCGAGGGGCGGGGCTTGCGGCAGGGGCCGCTCAACGCGCTCGGTGCTCGGCAGGCTGCCCTGCGTACGGCGCTCGGCGGCTCCGGGGCTGCCGGTATGTCGACCGCCATGAACTTCGGGTCCAAGAGCTTCCAGCCGCGGCCCCCGGACAAGGGCAGCTTCCCGCTGGACCACTTCGGTGAGGGGCGTCGGTGGGCCCCGCGGGACGCGCTCCTGGGAGGGCGGCGCCGGGCTGCGGGCGGGCGCGTCCCGCTTCCACGGCGGAGAAAAGACGCCTCCTTTCCCGTTCCAGGCGAGTGCGAGCACTTCAAAGAGCGGTTCTTGAAGTGCCTCCGGGACCGTCGCTTTGAAAATGCTCTGTGCAGAAACGAGTCGAGAGACTACCTGCAGTGCCGGATGGACAGGCGAGTGCCCGCGGGGCCGGCGGCGGGGAGTGCGGCCTCCCGTCAAGCGGCGGGGCGAGTTGGCGGCCGTCGCGGAAACCTGGTTTTGAGTGGTATTTGCATTCCTCAGAGAATTTTCTTTCCAAACGGGTGCGCCTGCTGTTAAGGTTTCAGAATCGTGCATCAGGAAAGCCCGTCAAAAGATGGGAAGGTCGTGGATAGACGTTTCTTTCACATTCTCAGACCTTAAAAATAGGCGCTGTTTTCTTCTGCTGAGACTCAGAGCTGCTCCGAGTGTGTGTGGCAGGGAAGACAATGGTGAGAGTCCTTCCTATCTTAGCAGAATTCACCAGAGCTCGGGTAAAGCATTTCGGTGACCCACGGAGGTTTCCCTGACGGTCACTACCGTTCTAATCCTCAGTGAGGAAAGCGAGGAACAGATGATTATATAGTGGGGCCGGGGGCTCTTATTTCTGCCTTCTGAGCCCTTCATTAGCTCACGAGGCTCACGAGGCTCACGAGACAGGTTGACATGAACCAGCCCACTCTGAGCCCAATTTCCGTCTTCCCTGTAACAAACTCAGACATTTCCCTCAAGGCAAAGCCCGCTGTGGTGTTTAGGCCCACTGGTGTGTTGAGGGCTCTGTGAGGACATCAGGGACTTTGAGAGTGACGGGCCTTCTTGGCAGTACGGCTCTCAGGTGAGGGCCTGGGCCCACTTTTCGCATTCAGGCTCACAGGGGCCTAGATTTGTTTGGCAAAGGGCCACCTAGAGTCCAGCTCTTGCCATCTTTAAATAGTACATTGCTGGGATCCGTGTGTTTAAATCACTGTCTTTTAAACGGATACAGCTTTAAAAATCAGGAGCTAAGTGAGTTTCTTCTTGGCGCTGCTGTGCTTTGGAGAAGAGTTTGAAGTTGGTCTCTGCCAGCAGGTGAGGAGGATGTGAGCAGGCCCCCCGCCACCTCTAAGCTCATTGAATCAGCTCCTGGCAGGGGCTGCTCCAGAGGGCTTCTGGCCTGCTGCCAAAGGACCTGCAGAGGGCCCTGAGAGTGAGCTGCTGGGTGTGTGTGTAGCGGTGCCTCCCCGGAGGCCTGGTGAGCGCAGTGGGAAGCTGGGTGCAGCCGCTGCTCAGGCCCCAGGACCCCAGGTGGCTTCACTGGTTGGTCAGGGGCCGTTTGAGTGTGACGGGTGTGTGTGTTTCTGACTTGGTCAGTTACTTTGACCATAAACTCTGGTTTGTTTTTAGTGAGAGTCCACAGATGTGCACAGGGAGGGGACAGTCTGGACCTCCACAACCGTCACCCAGATTCAGTGTCAGGATTCTGTGCATTGCTTCCCACTTCCCCTTTCTGAAAATCTCTTTTCTTTTTCCTTCTGCACTGAAATCCCAGATAGGATTTTACCCCTACTTACTTCTGTATATGTCTTTTAGAAACGCCTGGCCACAGTGAAGTTATTATTTTTTTTATATCATTACAATTGAACAACATTATGGTTACTAGACCCCCCCCTATTATCAAGTCCCCCCAACATACCCCATTACAGTCACTGTCCATCAGCATAGTAAGATGCTATAGAATCACTACTTGTCTTCTCTGTGTTGTACAACCCTCCCGTGCCCCCTCCTACATTATGTCTGCTAATAGTAATGCCCACCCCCCTTTTTTTCCCCCTTATCCCTCCCTTCCCACCCATCCTCCCCAGTCCCTTTCCCTTTGGTAACTGTTAGTCCATTCTTGGGTTCTGTGAGTCTGCTGCTGTTTTGTTCCATCAGTTTTTTTCTTTGTTCTTATACTCCACACATGAGTGAAATCATTTGATACTTCTCTTTTTCCGCCTGACTTATTTCACTGAGCATAATACTCTCTAGCTCCATCCATGTTGTTGCAAATGGTAGGATTTGTCTTCTTATGGCTGAATAATATTCCACTGTGTACATGTACCACATCTTCTTTATCCATTCATCTACTAATGGACACTTAGGTTGCTTCCATTTCTTGGCTATTGTATATAGTGCTGCAATAAACATAGGGGTGCATATGTCTTTTTCAAACTGGGATGCTGTATTCTTAGGGTAAATTCCTAGGGTCAAATGGTATTTCTATTTTTAGTTTTTTGAGGAACCTCCATACTGCTTTCCACAATGGTTGAACTAGTTTACATTCCCACCACTAGCAGTGTAGGAGGGTTCCCCTTTCTCCACATCCTCGCCAACATGTTGTTGTTTGTCTTTTGGATGTTGGCCATCTTAACTGATGTGAGGTGATAACTCATTGTGGTTTTAATTTGCATTTCTCTGACGATTAGCAATGTGGAGCATCTTTTCATGTGCCTGTTGGCCATCTGAATTTCTTCTTTGGAGAAGTGTCTGTTCAGATCCTCTGCCCATTTTTTAATTGGCTTATTTGCTTTTTGTTTGTTGAGGTGCATGAGCTCTTCTATATAATTTGGATGTCAACCCTTTATCGGATCTGTCATTTATGAATATATTCTCCCATACTGTAGGGTACCTTTTTGTTCTACTGATGGTATCCTTTGCTGTACAGAAGCTTTTTAGTTTGATATAGTTCCACTTGTTCATTTTTGCTTTTGTTTCTCTTGCCTGGAGAGATATGTTCATGAAGAAGTTGCTCGTGTTTATGTCCAAGATATTTTTTGCCTGTATTTTTTTTCTAAGAGTTTATGGTTTCATGACTTACATTCAGGTCTTTGATCCATTTTGAGTTTACTTTTGTGTATGGGGTTAGACAATAATCCAGTTTCATTCTCTTACATGTAGCTGTCCAGTTTTGCCAACACCAGCTGTTGGAGAGGCTGTCATTTCCCCATTGTATGTCCATGGCTCCTTTATCATGTATTAATTGACCATATATGCTTAGGTTTATATCAGGGCTCTCTATTCTGTTCGACTGGTCTGTGGCTCTGTTCTTGTGCCAGTACCACATTGTCTTGATTACTGTGGCTTTGTAGTAGAGCTTGAAGTCAGGGAGCATAATTCCCCCTGCTTTATTCTTCCTTCTCAGGATTGCTTTGGCTATTCAGGGTCTTTTGTTGTTCCATATGAATTTTAGAACTATTTGCTCTAGTTCATTGAAGAATGCTGTAGGTATTTTAATAGGGATTGCATTGAATCTATAGATTGCTTTAGGCAGGATGGCCATTTTGACAATATTAATTCTTCCTAGCCAAGAGCATGGGTTGAATTTCCACTTATTAGTGTCCTCTTTAATTTCTCTTAAGAGTGTCCTGTAGTTTTCAGAGTATAGGTCTTTCACTTCCTTGGTTAGGTTTATTCCTAGGTATTTAATTCTTTTTGATGCAATTGTGAATGGAATTATTTTCCTGATTTTTCTTTCTGCTAGTTCATCATTACTATATAGGAATGCAACAGATTTCTGTGTATTAATTTTGTATCCTGCAACTTTGCTGAATTCAGATATTAGATCTAGTAGTTTTGGAGTGGATTCTTTAGGGTTTTTTATGTACAACATCATGTCATCTGCAAACAAGGGCAGTTTGACTTCTTCCTTGCCAATCTGGATGCCTTTTATTTCTTTGTGTTGTCTGATTGCTGTGGCTAAGACCTCCAGAACTATGTTGAATAAAAGTGGGGGCAGTGGGCATCCTTGTCTTATTCCCGATCTTAAAGGAAAAGCTTTCAGCTTCTCATCCTCAATGAAGTTGTTAAGCTTGTGTCTTGAAGACACAGGCCCTTCTAGTCTGGTCTAGACGCATCTATATCTATGCTAGACATGGGCCACATGGGCCACATTCTTCATCGAGGAACTGTTAAGACGGGATTGTATTGTTGGCAAAGAGCAGCAAACATATGAATGATCCACTGTCTTACTATGCCTCTGAAAACGTTTAAAGCTCAGGTCTGGCCATGTGGGTTGGACTGCAAGGGCCTGTACAGCCCTGTTAGTGTGCCTGGTGGCATGCAGTCTGGGCCTCCTGGCCAGGGTGCGGGAGTGAGGTGCTGTTGCTGGAAAGCCACAGTCAGGATGAGGCCAGGTACCGGTTACTGTGGTGCTGTGGCCTGAGGAGTATGGGGTGCGTACGAACGAGCTGCACTGAGTCACGAAGTGACCTCATGTTGGCTGCATTCTGGTCTGTTCTCACTGGCTCATCTCCCCTGCTGTCTGGCTGCTGGCCTGCCTCACCTCTGTCCTGCTGAGCCTGCCACTTTGCTTGCAGGAGACACCAATGTCTGTGGGAAGGCTGCCCATTCCCAGGCACAGAGACAAAGGCCCCAGGTGGCATGGTCCTCAGGCCCCAGGCCGGGAGCAGGAGGCTGCTCCATAGGCGGCTGGTCCAGCTCAGGACGTGCTTTTGGGGCACAAACAACATACTCAGTCTGGCCTACATGCAGACTTTATTTTTAAGTGTATTCTTCTGTGACGGAAATCGTTGAGCACACAGAGACCGAGTGCACACCCCTCCCCATCCGTGCTCCCTTGTGCTTGTCTCCCTGGCTGACATCTCTGAGAGTAAGTCCTGCATGTTTGAGTGGTTTTATTAAACTTATCTTGTTTCCTTGATGGGATGGCCTATAGAGCACTTGGGAAGTTTGCATAACAGGCTATTACTCTGTGAGCTGTATTTCTGCAGAAGTGTGGCCAGCACACACTGGGCCCCTGAGTCTGACTCAGGTGACTCGCCGTGTGCTTCACCCTAGCGTCAGCTCTGGGCCTGGATGTCCTTACCTGCTGTGGTTGCAGTGGTGTGAGGTGAGAACAGCAGAAGTGGTGGTGGCCAGTGCATGGCAGGGCCACTGGGCTGGAGGGTCCTGCTGAGTCCTCCCAACAGGTCTGGGAGGAGAGCTGCTTGCCCAGGCCTGGGCTCATGGAATTCCTGCTGGGACGTTGTGCCTTCACCTCCACATAGGACAGGAAAGCCCCCCACCCGCAGAACAAAACAAACACCAGGTTCTTTTCCTTGGAGTGTGAGCAGCTGGAGAGGGATGGGGGCTCTGGGTGCGCTGTGCTGGGCATCCTGGCCTTGTGGCTCTGACCTGAATGGGTGCAGCGTGAGGCTGGCATGCAGGTGGGCACAGAGGGGACCAGGCGCAGGACTGGGCCTCTGGCCAGCTGTGGATCTGTGGCTCTGGGCCATGCAGGGCCTAGAGCAGGAGTAACCTGAGATAGCCTGCACAGATAGGTCTAGATGTTGAGTCACAGGTAAGATAACAAGAACCAGGTAAAGGCTGTCTGGGCCCTGTCTTATCTGTCACGCCTTGTCTGTCACTCCTTCAGTGACCTGGGGGCCACGATGAGGCTGGCTCCCTTGGACCCTCACATGCATGTGCACAGGGAGCCTGGCCACAGCCCACCCCCTTCCCTCCCTGGTCCTGGCCCCACCTCGTACCCTGGGGGCTGCGTGCAGCCTGTGTGGATGCCCCAGGGTGCATGGCTTCTGTCAGCCGCTGCCCCCTTGAATCTAGAGTTGCAGGCATCCAGGAGGAGGGGGTTGCAGAGAGGCCCTGGGGTCCCAGGTGTGGGAAGAGAGTGTGGCCCAAGGCTACCCTAGCCCCTGGGGTGCTCTCCCGCGGGTTGACCATCCTGAGACAGGGGACATGCAGGGGCCAGGCCCAGCTGCCACTCACAGTCCATTCTTAGACGTGGTTGGGGAGTGAGTGGTAGTGAGTTAGCGGCCCGCCAGGCCCCACGTGCACCTAGCTCTTGCCATCGCCCTGACAGCTCCCACCTTCTCTTTCAGGCAGCTGATGGCACAGGAACCACTGGAAAAGCTGGGCTTTGGAGATTTGACGGGCGGAAAGTCAGAGGCAAAGACCCAGGTTTGACGACAGGACCAGGCTGTGTCTTCCATGCGGTCCAGAGCCCGTGGTCTAACCCTGTCACCTGGCATCCCCTGGTGAGGCAGCATGACTTGGAAGGCCCTGGAGGTAGTCCTTCAAAATCAAGACAGACGCCCACCTCAGTGGGTGAGGCTCGTATCCAGGGACATGGTTCATGTTCTGAAGCTCCTTGGATTGTTTTGAAAAATTATTCTTTTAGATTCTCTTTCACCTGAGTGGGAGGTTTATCTTTAAATCTATGCATGTGGCAGAGTTCCTAGGGGGGCCCTGCCAGGTGGGAGGCTCCTCAGAGTGGGCATGAGCCACCTGTGCATGGTGATCACACGTCACAATAAATACGCCGCACAGAGCCCCAATCCAGGCGGCCTCTGCTTCAGTCCGTCGTCCACACGACTGTCTGAGAACCTTCCCTGGCAAAGTAGCTTGTTTTGTACTCAAATGCTTGTTCATGTCCTTTTTGCTCTTAAACAGAAATAGAGTACAATTGAAGAGGATCTTCTGGAATCTGCTAGTTCCTCTTTTTTTCTGGTACTGTCTGAATACCATATATCTGTGTAATCAGAAGGTTGTTTTCTGATTTTTATCAGACTGTTTATAAAACTAGATGTCTGCTTTCATGACTCGTTTACTGTAACTCTGGAAAATACAGCGTCAGTCTGTAGTGTGTTCACTCAATGAGAAGGCTCACACTCACACTCATGCAACCAGCCCTTGCTCCGTCCCCTGAGTGTGTGCCAGACACCCGGCGTCACCTTCCCATGCCAGTGCTTAGAGTAGCCTGCTGCCCGGCTATGATCAGAACTGCCTACATGTCACTCAAACCTCACAGGTATCTACGCCCTCAGCCAGATTTTAGAGTGACTGAAATGTGGCCAGGGTGTGTGCAGAGCCATGAACAGAGTGCTAGGTGTGTGTAGATCTGCAGGGATTTGCCCTCTGACCTGGCACCCCCTGGCCCACTGGCCTTTGTGAATCCAGGCCATGTCCCCACTTGGATAGTGCCCTAGTGGTGGCTGAGGCGCTCTTGGCTCTGGCGGGTGGGGACCCAGGCCTGGGCCCAGGAGCGGCCTCCCTCTGCTGCTTGGCCAGGAGTGGTGGGGGCCCCTTGGCATACGGGCCCCCATGTTTTCAGCCCTATGGCAGCAGCGGCTTTTGGTCTGACCCTCCCTGACTCCAGGCCCCTGCCCGTGGCCGGTTCCCCTAGCACAGCACCCACTCAGCACCCTTACCCTGCTGCTTGCCGCTGCTCCATATTTGGCCTCTTGTCTTAGGCTTCTAACTGGGCTTCAGACTTACTGCATATTAGCGTCTAGTTCATGAAAAGCTTTGGTTTTTATCACCAAACCAAATCGCCGTCAAGCTGTTTGTATTTTTCAACAGTACAAAGTGCCATGTGAGGAGGGCCATTCGCCGCAGCCACCATAACTGCCAAGTATTGCGGCAGCCGTGGCAGCTGCCCCATGTACGAATGCCAGACACTGGCCGGCCCACCCATGTGGCAGAGAGTGGGGGAGGCCACAGGGCCAGACTGGCTCGGGGGCCTCATGCTGTGAACATGTTCTTCAGTGAAAACAGCACAGTCCAAAGTCCATGTCCACCATGTGCTGAGCAGGAAGACACTGGCAAACCATGGGAATGCCCACGTATTTATGCAGACACGGAATTGGGAAGAACAAACCAGAAACTGATGGGAATGGACCCTAGCACACTGCTGACCCTGAGCCATGTCGTGTTTCACGTGCTCTGACTATAGGCCAGGACGGCGGGACCCAGATGGACCCCAGCAGAAGCACAGCCTCTGGGGGACACATGCAAACTCACACCAGTGGACGGGGATGGGGGACAGACTCACCTTGTCACTTTGGAAACAAGTTTCCTTAAAGCTGGAGCCAGACACTCTCTTGTACTCTAGCTAGTAAATCTTTTTTTCACGTGGGCAACAATTCGGAAGCTGTATATTCTGACAGTGAAAAGACCAGAGGTGTACTGCAGGTCGGAGGGCCGGGCATATCGGACTTGTGGTTTTCTAGCATGCATAAAGGTAGCTGGATGCAGACAGACAGGTGTGTGCTGTGTCCACATGCAGGGATGTCCCAGCTCTGACCACTGAGGGGGCTCAGAACCAGCGACCAGTAGCAGGTTTTGGACACTGACTCCACCCTCTGACAAGAACCTGACACCAGGGCTGTGAAAGGACCACCTTGTGGCAGAAAGTAAACTGCTGAAGAAATGGAGGGGCTTAGCAGAGGAACACGGGAGGCCATGGGAAGGAGCACCCTGTGGCTAATCTCCAGCAATTTGAGCAACAAAATGAGTATATGGGCTACAGCCCCCAGCATGCATTGCTGCTCAGGATCCAGGCCACTGTAAATGATTGATTGAATGAATGCATCAGTATTCGTGGAGTCTGACGTGGAGAGAAACTTGGAAGAGCAGCCAACAGCAGAGAACACCTGCACGTGAGCACCCACAGGCCCCGAGACGGGGCACAGTGGGTGTGGAATGGGGCATCTGCCCAGCCTGGAGGACCTCCCCTCTAGGGCTTGGCAATCACATGGGAAGGCCACCTCCCAGCCAGGTGGTCACCACTGGGTGAGGCTGGCCCACAGTGAGTGCCGTCTGACATCCTGAGCATCACTGGTAATAACTGGCCAAAAACGCAAAGCCTCAAGCTAATGGAAAAACCCTGGGCAAACCTAAGTGAGGTCTGTTCTCCAGAATGAAGGCCAAGAAGTGCCCTCAGGAAGGCCAAGTTCCTGAAGGATGCTGAGGTGCTGCTCTGGAGCAGCAGGGCAGAGCAGACAGTCCCTAACTGCCATGTGGGTCTGGGCTAGGCAGGACGATGGCGGGCAGGTGGTGAGGCCCGAGGGTCTGCAGAACACTTGACTATTGTTCTGAGGACCTAAGGTGTTACTTGGGAAGCTGGGCATACAAGCTCTGTCCCATTTTTACAGCTTCTTGGAAGTCCAAGATTATTTCAGAATGAAAAATTGAAAAGCTGTTTTTTGCATTAAACCCTGTGTAGTTGAACTTCCTCTACACATGATGGAGTAAATTCTCACTTTGAGATACACCCAGTGAATTGCAAATAGGGATGATGCTGGCATAAATGGTCCTGGCCAGTCAGGAGAGGAGGTGGGGGGCGAGGCCAGCGCACCGTTGCACGATGGGCAGCAGCTTCCTGAATCACCTTGGTTCCCCAGGTCTGTTGCCCCGTGTGTCCCTGCCGCCCCCCTATAGGCACCCTGGCCTGCAGTCAGGGCTGCACTTAATTTCCCGCCTGTGGCATGACGAGCCAACACCGTCACTCAGAGGCGCCCAAAGGTGGTTTCCAGAACACCGGCCAAGTGTCTTGAGGCAGGAGATGAGTTGAAGTCAGGCTGCTGTGGTCAGGCCTGGCTCTCCAGCTCAGGGCAGGGGTGGCGGGGGACCCAGGGCACCAGGCAGCCTGGGGCACAGGGCTGCAGCCTCCCTGACTGCCAGCCGTGTCCCTCCCACCTTCAGCAGCAGGTGGTCTCTCTGCCGAAGTAGCCAGCCTGTACCTGTGTTTCCTGCTGCACCAGGTTACTGTAGATCGAACCTTCAGACACACCATTTGCTGTATCCGTTCTGCAGGTCACAGTCTGAAACAGGTCTGTTTGCCTGCCTTCCACAGTTCAGGGGTTGGTCTCCAGTATCTGGAGACGCCATGTCTCCAAGCCCTTCTCCATCCTCAAAGCTGGCCTGCAGTGTCCGTCCCACATCTCAGACTCTGGCCCCGTTGCCGTCCTCTGATAAGGACCATTGGGGTGACAGTGCCTACCCAGAAAGCCCAGGGCCACCTCTCCACTTAGGAGCCTTAATCTCATCAGCAAAGTCAGATTCGAGGTTCCAGGGACAAAGACGTGGACTTCCTGAGCCACTACTCTGCAACCACACCCCCAGACCGGGGAGAGCTCCAGAGTGATTTGGGGGGCGTATGTGCCTCGGGTTGAGTGGCTGGGTGCTGAATAGCTCAGCACATGCCCAGAAAGCAGTTGAGTCCTGCCCCAGGGGATATGTGCTGGGACGGCTGCAGAGTTCGTGGGGTTATCCACAGCAATCCAGTCACTGGTCACATTTTCACATTTTCTCAGGGCTGAGTTTATTAAATCCCAGACTTTTCTGGGATCTTTGGTACGGCTGCTTCCTGCTGGCAAAAGACACAGAAGCTGGACATGTGCTTGAACAGGACCAGAGAGTCAGAGCTCAACATCCCTATCCTGGCGGTTCTTCTAGACTTTTCTGGTTCTCTGTAAACGTGAGAGGTGCTTGGAGTCCTGTACAATGGACATCCACGGTGTCCATCTGGGTGACGGACTGGGTGATGATGTGTGGCTTTCCTCTGATTTTTCTTTATGACTACATTTAATAAGATAAATCACTTTTATAGAACCAATCAAATAATTTTAAAAAGCTTATTATGTTTAGTTGTGCATTTGTGTCACCTATAAGTCACGTGCTGCGGTTGTATTTCATACTGTCCATAACAGCCCATCTTACTTTTCCTGGTAAAACCACACCAATTTATGTGTGGGCCGTCCCTTAAGGCGTGGGGCTGGCCGAGCAGTGGGCCTGGCTGGGGACGGGACCATGTGGCTCACTTCCCCCAGGAAGCCTCGGGCATGATCACAGAACCAGCCACGAGTGAAGTGCCCGCTGTGCGCTGGCCTTCAGGCGGGGAAAGAGCTCGAAGCTGTGATGTCTCATTCCAGCCACCTGGTGCCTTGATTCTGTCTCAGTGAGATTAGACAGGTATTTGTGGATGAGAAAGCAAGGATTTTATTATTGTAAGAGACTTTAAAAGAACTTTCTGCCAGGCCATGAAACATGTGACTTTGTCCTAATACTGTGATGTTACATATCTGCAGACCCTTCTGGGACGGAATCAGATTTCACAGCTGCACACTGAGCGTCTGAAGCGAGGGGAGCCTCCCAGAAAAGGGGCGGCCTGGGCAGAGGCTGATCCTGGCTCCTGGGGATGGTCCGGAAGCCCGTCACCCTCCTGCTGACTTTCCTTAGGAAACAGGCCTCGTGGCTGCTCCCACCCTGCCCCACAGGGCGCCCCAAGGCCTTAGGGAGCCCAAGGCCACTGCCTTGTGTTTGCTGGGCGCTCAGGAGGCAGGAGCCTGGGCAGCATCTGCCCCTGTGTGGTGGTTTCCACTGTCTGCAGGGTGCGGGAGGAGGAGCTGGTCCCTTCCTCCTGGGCTTGCAGGACCCAGGCGGTGCCAGCAGACGGAGCTTGCGTCTGCAGTGCCCAAGCCGTGACCCCTGCCTCAGTGGAGCAGCAGGCCCTCCCTCCAGGGCTCCTGGCAGGCAGGTGGTATTGGAGGAACACCAGGGCCCTGGATGCATGTGGGGGCTGGGCTGGGGACACCCAGAAGCATCTGCCCTCCAGTCCTTCTGAAAGTGCTAGCTGGTCACCACTGTGGGGATTTAGGGTTGGTCTGTGGGGTTGCAACTGTGCCACCGAATTACAAAAGCCCAGTAATTTAGGGTGGGGAAGGGGCGAGGCTGGCCACCCAGAGGAAACCTGCTCTCCTTTCCTCCCTTGACCTGCAGGGTCAGCCAGACACGAGCAGAACGTGGTGGCGTGGCGACC